TAGCCTTGTTTTAGTCAAGATGTATGTTTTGATGTCTATTAGACGTATTTTAAATGTAAAAAAAAAACAGGTTTTCTGAGTTTGTGCATCTCCAAAAATGTGTTTATATAAATCATATGTAGACTTACTATGATTTTAAACAAAGATGTGAAATAAACCTATCTGCAAACTGGAAAAATCCCAAAACATTTGCGAATAAAGCAGCTTTTCCATTCAATGAGTCAAAGAGAAAAAAATAGCGGCAAATATCAAAAATAAAAGAAAAATGGGTGCGTTAGCCAATGTGGACTTCTTTTAGATATCATAAATTACTTGAGTCTAGATTTTAAGACCAAATGTAACCTTCTTTTAGCCAAGATTTATGATTGAATGTCTATTAGACGTCTTTAAAATGAAAGATGATTTCTTTATAATTAGTAATTAAATATAATTATAATAAGTAATTAAAAGATGCTTTCTGGGTTTGTGGATCTCCAAAACATGTTTATATACAAAATGGCTAATTCTTATGTAATCTTACTATCTTTTTAGCCAAAGATGTTAATTAAACGTGCAAAACTGGATTATCACATAAAGTTGTCATTTCCTGATTAACTGGTGGCAAATATTACTTAAATGTAAAAGAAAGTAAAATTTGTCCTTTAAGTAAGGAGAAGGCAATGTGGGCCTTTCTTTGTATATCATAAACTACTTGCGCCTTTGAAGATGAAGACAAAATGTATTAAACATGCTGTGTTTTTTCTAAGTGCATTTTGAAAATGTATGCACATCTTGTCATTTCCATTAAGCATTTCAAAATTTGCATATAAAATAGCTTTTTTTCTCCCAACAAAATTATATTTATTTCAAAGCACATTAAACAGCACAATGCTGTTATTCTGTTTAAATGCATTCTGCAACAAAAAAAAACTAAAAATCAAACAAACATGAGATTTACACAGGGGCCAGTTTGTGAAACACAAGCAGAACAAATATGGAAACATGATGCTTAGATCAAAAAGGTTTTACGCACAAACTGTTTATACAGAAATCCTTTCTGCTCAAGTTTCTGAAAGCTGCAAATTTTAAGCACCTTCATTTCTGTTATTCTACCTGGAAAAGTAGACAAGTTGAACTCTTTCCAACGCATAACATGTTTTGATTTCTTATCAGCATGTTGTGTGCCGTGCAAAAACAAAACCAGCGGAATCCGAGACACATCTCAGAGAAATATGTGACTTTCCTAAAACATCATCCAAAATTATTTTTATTTTTGAATTCTAAAAATATTTACAGGAACTGAATTAAATATCTTGTGCACTGTAGTTATACACTCACCGGCCACTTTATTAGGTACACCTGTCCAACTGCTCGTTATCGCAAATTTCTAATCAGAAAATCCCATGGCAGCTACTCAATGCATTGAGGCATGTAGACATGGTCAAGATGATCTGCTGCAGTTCAAACTGACCATCAGAATGAGGAAGAAAGGTGATTTAAGTGACTTGATCTACTGGGATTTTCGCGCACAACCATCTCAAGGTCATCAATTCTCAGTCCAATAGAGCACCTTTGGGATGTGGTGGAACGGGAGATTGGCATCATGGGTGTGCAGCTGATAAATCTACAGCAACCGTGTGATACTATCAGGTCAATATGGACCAAAATCTCTGAGGAATATTTCCAGTACCTTGTTGAATCTATGCTACGAAGGATTAAGACAGTTCTGAAGGCAAAATTGGGTCCAACCCCGTAATAGTAAGGTGTACCTAATAAAGTGGCCGGTTAGTGTATGTTTATAGTTTAATATTTTTCATATAATACGTCTAATCTGCACATTTATTCGGTAAAAAATTTAAACGGTCATGAATGTTATTCGTAAATAGAATAACTGGCTTTATATGTGAATAAATATTAAGAATGTAATTTATTCCTCATTTAAAGCTACATTTTTCATTCTTCAAAGACACGTGATCCTCCATAAACCATTCCAATAAGTAGTTTTGATGCTCAATAAAGTAGTTTATTTATTACAATTCTGATTATTATCATCAGAATGATTATTATCATCATTTATCATATTTAAATTGATCAGAAATCACAGTAAATACATGTATAATCTTGTTATGTTTAACTTATTATTTTCAGAGACAAATCTCAGAGCAAATGTTAAAAAAAAACTATTTCCTAAAACATCACCCAACATTCTGATGCATAACATATGGGCTGAAATAAAAAAGCAGAGCTGCACAATATATCATTTCAGAAACGATATTGCAATGTGCATGTCTGCCATAGTCACATAACTTGGGATTATAGTTGACCAGCAGCTGTAGTTCAGTACACACTAGATTTGTGGTGTCACTGAGGAAAGTCCCTCAAGAGTTTCTCAGTTGCGAATACAACAGGAAGCTCTGTGTTGGATGCTGTGAAGTGTTGGAGGCAGGGGCAAACATTCCAGTAACTCAAACACAATAATGCCAACAAAGAGCACTCTCAAACCACAAAGGTACAGAAGAAGTACTCCTCACTGAGAAAGCGCTGACCTTTCCGCACGAAACATTCATTTTTAATTATTTTATTGTGAAAAAAAAACAGAATGTGGAGGGATATGAATATATTACCAAGATAGCTACAAATACGGGCCACTTATGGTAGTTATGCGGCACTGGTGATCTTTTTTCAGCCCAGACAAAATGAACATGAGCCTGACATGGCTCACCTATACAATGGCAAGAGGGGGCCAAAGATTCCATTTCATATATGGGCCATTTAAGGCAAAGATTTGGCACTTATGGCAAATGTAATCTGAATGTGAACCTGATGTGGCACATGTGGAAAATAGTCAATTTGGCCCAAATGACAAATGTGGACCACAGTTGGCAAAAATGTGGCATAGTCATTCAGGGGTAATCTGGGTCTAAACCCAAAGTGGCACACATGTGTTGGTGCTAATGTGGCCCAGTTAATGTTAAACATATGTGGGCCACCTTTGGCAAATATTTGGCACAGTAAGCTCTGGCTAATGTGACTGTGAGCCTAAAGTGAACCAGAGAAAATATGGCACCTGTAGCCCAGTTATCTTAAGACATATGTGGGCCACATTTGGCAAATAATTAGCACAGTAAGCTCTGGCTATAAAAAAAATGGTCGTGCTAACTGAACCAGGTTTCTCCAAAAGTTTTTTTTTTTCCTTCACTTTCGTCTATTGGTGAAGTTTTTTTTTTTCCTCGCCACTGTTGCCACTGGCTTGCATAGTTCGGGACTTGTAGAGCTGCGCATCGATGGATGACTCTTCAATGTTTGGACTCCCAGCAGTGAAAATTGAAACACATTGAATTGAACTGAGCTAATCTAAACTGAACTGGACTTAAACTCTGAAAACTGAACTAAACTGCTTCAATTAACTATAATCTTCTATGTGAAGCTGCTTTGACACAATCTACATTGTAAAAGCGCAATACAAATAAAGATGAATTGAATTGAATTGAATTGAATTGAATTGAATTGAATTGAATTGAATTGAATTGAATTGAATATGTGGGCCACTTTGGCAAATATTTGGCACAGTAAGATCTGGCTAATGTGGCTGTGAGCCTAAAGTGACCCAGATGTGATATGACAAATGTGGCCCAGTTATCTTAAGACATATGTGGGCCACTTTTGGCAAATATTTGGCACAGGTAGCTCTGACTAATGTGGCTGTGAGCCTAAAGTGACCCAGATGTGATATGACAAATGTGGCCCAGTTATCTTAAGACATATGTGGGCCACTTTTGGCAAATATTTGGCACAGGTAGCTCTGACTAATGTGGCCGTGAGCCTAAAGTGGCCCAGATGTGATATGACAAATGCGGCCATTATCTTAAGACATATGTGGGCCACTTTTGGCAAATATTTGGCACAGTAAGCTTTAGCTAATGTAGCTGTGAGCATAAAGTGGCCCAGATGTGATGTGACAAATGTGGCCCAGTTATCTTAAGGCATATGTGGGCCACTTTTGGCAAATATTCCACACAGTAAGCTCTGACTAATGTGGCTGTGAGCCTATAATGGCCCAGAGAAAATATAGCAAATGCAGCCCAGTTATTTTAAAACATATGTGGGCCACTTTTGGCAAATATTTGGCACAGTAAGCTCTGGCTAATATGGTTGTGAGCCTATAGTGGCCCAGAGAAAATATAGCAAATGCAGCCCAGTTATCTTAAAACATATGTGGGCCACTTTTGGCTAATATTTGGCACAGTAAGCTCTGGCTAATGTGACTGTGAGCCTAAAGTGGCCCAGAAAAAATATGGCACATGTAGCCCAGTTATCTTAAGACATATGTGGGTCACTTTTGGCAAATAGTCGGGGCAGTAAGCTCTGGCTGTGTGGGTCTGGTGCAAGTGTCTTGTGTGGGCCGGATCTGGGCCAAAATAAAAGCAAACTGTGGCCCAGAATAAGGTCAGTTCTGGTTCATTTTGTCGAATTTTGGCTAATATGTGGTATTGCTATGGCTTAATTGTGGCCTAGATCTGGCAAACAGGAGCGTACTGCCCAAGTGCCATCATTACATGTAGCATGTGGGCCAGATGTAAGTGTTTGGTGTGGGCCGGATTTGAGCCACATGAATTTTGCTATCGGTGTAACAAATACTATAGATCTCAAACTGGCATGCTTTAAAGCTCATCTTGGAGATTTAAAGCAATAACTGACCTATATTTACATGTCCAAAACTGCATAGGCAGGTCTTAACAGTAAGGAAATAAAAAGAAATCTGTTGTTCTTGAAAGTTATGTTGGATTTAATGCCTCACCTGTATATTTAGACAGATGCTTTGACACTTGTTGTTATTTATGTCACATGCTTCATTATCTGAATGAAGTGACTCATCTAGACAATATAATGCATCAGTTGTAGCAAAAATAATGATGGATTAATGTATTAAGTGAAACTGCACAAGCTTTTTGTACACTAAATATAGCAAAAGGAAGAAATAAGACAGTTAATGTTTCGCATCTGCAAAAACTGATCGTTACCTGAAATTGCCGAAGGGGAAGCAAGTCTGGTCTTGTAATTTCCAGCAAACCATGGGAGCGTGCAGGACCAATTTTGTTTTATCGGTTCTCAGTCTGGGAAGCATGTTGGCGGTGTAGTATGAGCTCATCTGACAAGAAAAGATTATCAACAAATTAGAGAACAAACAAAACCACAAATTCACATGCACACAAACTAACACACTTGCCTTTTGCAGCTCATTCAGCTCATGTATCTTAATGGACTAAACCATACAGATATTAAATTGTGTAAAGTTTAAAGTTGAGCATTTTGTAAAGATTAAGGAACATTTTCATTTTGAAAGCTAAATGTGTACACTGCAAAAATGCTTTTTTTTGTCTTGTTTCTAATCCAAATACATAAAACTTCAGAAATCAAGAAATAATATGCCAAAATTGAGTGATTTTGACAAAACCAAAACCAAAACACATGCCTTCTGCAGCTCATTCAGCTCTCGCATCTTGATTGACTTAACCATATCAAATTGTGTACAGTTTAAAGTTGAGCAATTTTTAAAGTTGAAGGTACATTTTTATTTTGAAAACTAAATGTCTACAAAGCATAAAATGCTTTTTTGTCTTGTTTCTAGTCCAAATATCAAAAAATTCTTAAATCTAAAAATAATATGGCAAAATTGAGTGTAATTTTGACTAAACCACAAATTCACATGCACACAAACCAACACAAATGACTTTTGCATCTCATTCAGCTCATGCATCGGGATTGACTTAATTGCAAGTTAAAAGTTGAGCATTTTGTAAAGTTTAAGGTACATTTTTATTTTGAAAACTAAATGTCTACACTGCAAGAAATGTTTTTTTTCTCGTTTTTAGTTCAAATATCAAAAGATTCCGAAATCAAAAAATAACATGCCAAAATTGAGTTTGATTTTGACAAAACCAAAACCAACACACATGCCTTTTTAGCTCATCCAGCCTATGCATCTTAATGGACTAAACCAGTGGTTCTCAAACTTTTTTCATCAAGTACCACCTCAGAAAAAAATCGTCTCTCCAAGTACCACCAAAATGAGCAGTATTGAAATACAGTAGCATAGTAGGCCCAGTAAAGCAGCTACAACTCTGCACAGTTAAAAAAAAAACATGGCAGATTACCTCAGAAATATAGGCTATATGTCATATATGGCTTATTATAGACATCATTTTTGATAAATTTTGAAATTTATGTAGCATGTACATGACATATTTCATTCCTCCGCGTACAACTAGAAGGAAGCCTGCGTAACACTAGTGGTACACGTACCACAGTTTGAGAACCATTGGACTAAACCATACAGATATCAAATTGTGTACAGTTTAAAGTTGAGCATTTTGTAAAGTTTAAGGTACATATTTATTTGAAAAAAAGCTAAACGTCTACACTGCAAAAAAAATGTCTTTTGTCTTGTTTCTAGTCCAAATACCTAAAAATTCCTAAATCAAGATATAATCAATATAAATCAATCATTCATTTATTTATTTTCTTTTCGGCTTAGTCCCTTCATCCGGGGTCGCCACAGCGGAATGAACTGCCAACTTATCCAGCATGTTTTCCAGCGGAGGCCTTTCCAGCCGCAACCCATCTCTGGGAAAACATCCACACACACTCATACACTACAATCAATTTAGCTGGCCCAATTCACCTGTACCGCATGTCTATGGTTTGAGGGGGAAACCTGAGCACCCGGAGGAAACCCACGCGAATGCAGGGAGAACCTGCAAACTCCACACTGAAACGCCCACTGACCCAGCCGAGGCTCGAACCAGCAACCTTCTTGCTTTGAGGCGACAGCACTACCTACTGCACCACTGTGTCGCCTAATAAAAATCAAAACAATCAATAATGTCAAAATTGAGTGCGATTTTGGCTAAATGCACACAAATCAACACAAATACATTTTGCATCTTGATCTTGAGATCTTGATTTACTTAACCACTTTACTTAACCAAGTTGAGCATTTTGTAAAGTTTAAGGTATTTTTTCATTTTGAAAACTAAATGTCTACACTTGAAAAAAAAAGCTTTTTGTCTTGTTTCTAGTCCAAATACGTAAAAATGCATAAATCAAGAAATATGCCAAAATTGAGTGTGATTTTGACAAAACCAAAACACATGCCTTCTGCAGCTCATTCAGCTCATGCATCTCGATTGACTTAACCATACAGATATCAAGTAAAGTTTAAAGTTAAGCATTTTGTAAGGTATAGTTTAAGGTACATTTTTATTTTAAAAACTAAATGTCTACACTGTTTTTTTTCTTCTTGTTTTTAATCAAAGTATCAAATGATTGCGAAATCTAGAAATAATATAGCAAAATTTAGTGTAATTTTGACAAAACCAAATATTCACATGCACACAAACCAACACAAATACCTTTTGCAGCTCATTTGGCTTAGCATATTGATTGACTTGATTGCAAGTATAAAGTTGAGCATTTTGTAAAGTTTAGTTTTTGTAAACTAAGTGTCTACACTGCAAAAAAGAAAATGAGTTTTTTTTCGTCTCGTTTTTGGTCCAAATACCAAAATTGAGTACGATTTTTACAAAACCAAAAATTCACATGCACAAGAATCAACACAAATGCATTTTGCATCTCTTCAGCTCATGCACCTTGATTGACTTAACCATACAGATATCAAATTGTGTAGTTTAATGTTGAGCATTTTGTGAAGTTTAAGGTACATTTTTATTTTGAAAAATAAATGTCTAGACTGCAAAATGATTTTCTTACTTATTTTATAAGTATTTAATGAGGTTCTGATAGTAAAATTCTGGATTTTAAATGGCATTTAGTTTTACAGTAATTACACTGCAAAAAAAGCTTTTCTTATTTAGATTTTTTATCTTGTTTCTATTCCAAACATCAAAAAATTCTTAAATCAAGAAGCATTTTATAGATAAGCAAAATTATTGTCTTTTTTATGAAATAATATGCCAAGATTAAGTGTGTTTTTCTTTAAAACAAACTCAACAATCTGCCAATGGAATAAGCAAAAATATGTCAAAATGCAAAAAAGATTTTACTTATTTTACTTACGCCATTGGCAGATTATTTAGATTTAAGAGAAATCTGCCGATGTCGACAACTGACAGTTTTGACATTTAAGGCATTTTTTCTATCGAAACATAAAGTTTATATATGGCCATTTTGTAAACATTTGTAAAAGCCATGCTAAAGCAAGCTGCTTCAGAGAAAAAATGTATCTAAAAATTTTAAATAGTTTGCTCAGAAAGTGAACGATGGTGTTGACGTATGATGGGGTGTGAAATCAGATATTTATTTACCATCAGTATTTAAAATATTCTAAAACTATAAAACATCCCTGAACCTGTCTGCTGTCAGACTGATGTCTGCAGAGGTCGACGGTGTGGAGGCCGGGGGTCCTTTAGAGTGACAATTGTCCCTGATTCTGGCTGATTTATTACATTTTAATAAATGTCTGATAATCTTGACATTAAATAGGCAGAATTAGTAAGATTCTAAGAGTGCACACACTTTTTTGGCTTCCAGAGATCTGTTTATTTTGTATCAACCATAGTAGTAAGGGTACTAAACTGAAATTTTCTTTTAATTTCAAGAGGAGTCTGGATGCAGACCTAGTGCAGATGCAATCTGAGTTGCATGTAATGCTTTTTAATGGGCTCCCCTGACCCCACCCCTAACCCTACCCCTCACAATTACGTCACCAGCTCCATTAAGTTCATTGTGTCTGACATTGCATCACTGAGAGATGCAATCATAAAGGTTGCATCCAGATACTATTAGAAATTTCTAGCAGCTCTCCTAAAAATAGGGCACATCTTTGACATTTGAAAACATGAATGTATGATTGCAAAACAACCTTGATTTAATATTGAGTTTAACATAGAGTGTTGCTTTAGATAAAACAAGCTTTTTTATTGTTATATAACATGTTATCCATTTAACTGCATATGAATGACTGAACCCCTCTTTCCACACTGTTTTAGATGCAGTGAGAAGACATTAAAATGGCTCAGTGGGTAGCGCTGTTGCCTCACAGCAAGATGGTCACTAGTTCGAGCCTCGGCTGGGTCAGTTGGCATTTCTGTGTGGAGTTTGCATGTTCTCCCAGTATTCTTGTGTGTTTCTTCCGAGTGCTCCGGTTTCCCCCACAAACCCAAAGACATGCGCCATAGGTGAATTGGGTAAGCTAAATTGGCCGTAGTGTATGTGTGTGAATGAGATTCTATAGAAGTTTCCCAGTGATGGGTTGCAGCTGAAAGGGCATCCGCTGCGTAATACATATTTTGGATAAGTTGGCAGTTCATACCGCAGTGGCGACCCTAGATAATAAAGGAACTAAGCCAAAAAGAAAAATAATGTCTACACTGCAAAAAGTGCTTTTCTTACTTATTTTTAAGTATTTAATGAGGGTTGAAATGGCATTTTGTTTTAATTTCACTGCAAACTTAACTTAAATATTTGGTCTTGTTTCTAGTCCAAATAAATCAAAATTCTTAAATCAAGAAGCATTTAAAAGACAAGCAAAAAATATTGTCTTTTTATGAAATAATGTCAAAATTAAGTGTGTTTTTCCTTCAAACGAGCTAAATAATCTGCCAATGGAGTAAGCAAAGAAATGCTCAAGCAAGCTGCAAATGCCCCAGATAATGGCTGATTTATCACATTTTAATAGATGTCTAATAGTCTTGACATAAAATAGGCAGAATTAGGAAGATTCTAAGGGCGCACACGCTTTTGGGGCTCCCAGAGATCTGCTTATTTCATATTAACAGTACTACCAGGGACCCTAAGCTCAAATAATCTAAAAGGGACCAACGTTTCTAGCAGCGCCCCTGAAACTAGGACACATATTTGAAATCTGACATGAATGTTTCATTGCAAAACGATGTTGATTTGATAGAAGTGTTACTTTTACATGAATAAAATGATATTTTATTCATTTAACTGCATATGAATGACTGGATCCCTCTCTCCACACTGTTATAGATGCAGTGAGAAGACAATAGGTGCTGTAAATTAGATATAATAATGAATCAGTTAAATCGAAAGGGATAGTTGTGCTGGATGGATTCTAATCCCTCATAACATTTCCAATTGATTCATTTTTAAACCTAACAGCAGTTCTAATTGGAGGACTGGTTTTGTACTGAGGTAAAGTTGGTTTTATATTCGCACATTCGTTCACCGACAACTTCATGGTAATTTGAATATTGGGTCTGAAATCACAAGTATGCATGACCTCAAACAACATCAGCACTATTTGTTGTTGTACTTTGATAGTCATAGGCTGCTATTATGACTTCCCTATTTACAATGTGAATATAAAACCATTTTGACCTCAACAGGTTTCGTCCCAATCAGTGACCACTGAGATTCATTACTTACTCTGGGGTGACATCGTGTGGTCACTAAGAACTGGTACTCGACTAGAAACACGGGGAAAACAATTCCTTGACGAGGACATTAAAACCTATTTCACAGCAAATGAACACCTGAAGTTTACTCAAACCACCAGATTTAATATTTATTCATGAGTGGAGTACGTTTAGTAATAGTAAAGACTGAATAAATTGAATTTAGCTCTTCCTTCATCATTGGCGAACTAATTCCATCCACAAGTGCAATAAATGGCATTTTTGTTTCGTTTTGTAATGGAAAGTACCCACAGGTTCTGACCTGAGATCGTTATAGGGGCTCTTGTTTTGCTTGTTCCGTCGGCTGTGCGCAAATGGTAAATCTGATCCCGGATCATCCGAAGTTTCCCAAGCGCGCACGAGCTCATGATTCCATCGCTGCGCCGCGCGGTGCATTCTGGTAGAAGTTGAAAGATTCAAGATGGCGGCGAGCAGGAGACTACACAAGGTAGACGTCCAAACCTAATACTTTTTTAATCGTAAATAATTACTAATCGCTCACGACGACGCGATGGATGGTTAAACATGAAGTTTCTCTAACCGAAAGGGCGATTCGGACGTTTGTTTAAGCTTAATCTGCGTTAGTACAGGCGGTTCTCTTACTCGATGACTCGGCTCGCTCCGCGTTTCCAAACATGAAGGAGGAAAGCGCCGGTGGAGGCCGCGGGACTCAACAACAGGTTTTTGGGGTCGAGATCGTGGAGGCAGATGGGCAAATAGCATGTTATAGTAGGCTTCAGTGTCTTAACCTGTCTCTTCATTCATTGACCGTGAGTAAATGACAGGAATATAACGTGTAGGAGTCTAATGCGATGAGTTCCGTCACAGCGGATTCGGTTGATTCAAACAAATCTGAATCATTTTACTAGAATAATTTAAGATTAAGCTGCTATTTTAAGCATGTGTATGTCATTCATAGCGAATATTGCTGATTTTAATGCCGCTGTGATGACGTGAGAGACGACTCGGAAGAGCCAAACCGGCTAGATCTGTCAAATAAGCTGAAACCGCCTGCTACTTCACACTTTAAGCATACAATTAAACAACTGTTTAAGCAAATACGTAATTGAGGCATTTCTGTTAAGTTTCAGGTTGTTTTCTGCAGTAACGCCCCTATTAAAAAACGAAACCGTAAGTGTCTTCACAACAAGCTTTCGCTTTATATACTTCCGTCTTGTCGAAATAGTTTCATTCATAAGACGTGAATTACTTGTGTTTTTCGCACAAAGGTGTGTTTGGTCAGTCTGTTTTGTAATTAAAGTCACTGGACTGTCGTATATTCGAAGTTTTCGGGTGTAAATGAGAAGTTGGTTGACTTTGCCTCAGTTATCATATAAACGAGTTTACTTCCTTATTGGATGTGAGGTTGTAAATGTCAGTCATCTCTGTGGCATTAGAAGGAAATATGTGATCTTAACAGGACAGTAAACTTTTTTATACTTATATGTATGGTATTATTTCAGATAAGTTTTTGTCAGTATGCTAACCTGAAATAAAAATACCACGGTTTCACGGTATCAAGATTTCTGCTCTAAAATATTTATTTATTTTCAAATGTCTGGGTAAAACAAACAAACAAAATAAATCCCTATCGAACACAGTCTATTTTATTTTAAGAAACGTTCCTAATATGTTGGAACAGTAAACACGGCAGGCTAAAAAGTTAAAATAAATCATTGATCTCTGTTTTTTGCATTAGTTTCAAAAACACAGATTTTTTTACAATAAAAAAATCCTCAAAAAAACTTACAAATAGCTTGGGAATGGTATAACAGAAAATTTTAGTGGTATTGATACCTTGGTTATCGTCCCATGTATAATATAAACAAATCTGTGTATATACATATATCCGTATAGTGTATATATAAAAAAAAAACGCACAGTAAGTGAGAGTATTTCTGGAAAGTAAGTTTACAGCAATGTCATAGACAGGTGAGATTATTGCACTAAAAATGTAAATTATCGAATTAAATTTATCAATGAATCATATTTGACTGCTGTACATGGAAAATGCCCAGGAGTCATGTCATTTATGTAAATTATATGACACACACAGCTATGGAAAATTAAGAGATTTCTTGAAAATGAATTTTCTCTGGTAAACTAGTTATGTTTAGGTAAAATTTTTATTCTGTAGAGGTCTGAAAACATTTCTTCCTAATGTCAAAACTAATTTCATTTAAAATCAGATTAGAATAACAAATGTGAAGAAATGTCATCTGTATTCTAAAACAAAATAAAATATAATTTAATGCATAAATATAAATTGTAAAACCAGAGAAACTGTGAATTTCCAAACAGTGTCTTAATTTCTTGCCATAGCTTTGTGTGTATGTCTCAAAGCAGTTTAACACAGTAGATGAAGACAAAATACCTGTATACAATATTTTGGATAGTGGATCGTTCAGGCGTGTGTGTGTTTAATTTTCTCTGTGGGTGTGTGTGTGTGTGTTTAATTTGGCTGTTGTCTGTTATTTTAGGTAATCCCAAAAATAGCTGACAGATTATACAGTTCTAAAAATATTCATTAGTTCACGTGAGTTCAAGAGATCATTACCAGGCCATGTAATAGCAGCAGTAGTTTGAGTTGAGTATATACTGCCGTGTGGTGCCTTAGAGAAGTAAGGTGTGGTTTGTTGTATTAAAGCACACTCACTTGTAGTTCAGGTCAGTTATTTACAGTAAGCTGCTGAGGAAGGGGGAATTTCTCTGACTCAGGTCAAGACCTAGCTCACGTTTCTCTTGGGAATGGACTCTTCACCGTAATATAGATCTCTGTAGAAGATTTATTTTGGTAAATTTTTCTTAATTACTTTATAAATGCTGAATGGTTAATGTTTTATAAAGTGTTTAGGATAGCATGGATTAACCCTCTGAAGTAGTGGTGGGCAAATCGATGCTTCATGAAACACTGAAACAGTCGAAGCAAATGTGTCGAAGCTTCGAAACGTTTTGAAACCCCACTTTACGGTGACACCTAGTGGTCATTTTTAAAAATTGCACTGAAACAGCTTCAGCAAGAACATTTCAGCAAATAGAGGTATTAAAACCCACTTTGTAAATGTTCACCTTCAAGAGATTTAGTTGAGCGGTTAAGGTTTCTGACTTCCATGCGGGATTAGTAGGTTCGAATCCAGGCTTTTGAAATGCTTTAATACCAGTTGGTAATGCTTTGTTCTTGTATCGTTTTGTTTCAACATTGGTCTGACATCCGAATAAACTTTGTGAATAAATGTCTTGTTTTGGTCTTAAAACAGGGTTGTTGTTAGATCAGACACAGTTGTGGCCAGAAGTTATCAAGAATTATTAATATTATTCATTAAATTTCCCATTTATTGTATTTCATTTACGTCTTCCCAAACCCAACCATCACAGTACTGTAAAAATATTTATTATTGTTTTACAGTGTTACAAAAATGATGCTATATTGATGGCGTATCCACAGCTGTATCCTATTTAGGCTACACCATAAAACAGAAACATGATTAAAATGCATAAAACCATGATTTTGGAGTATTTGTACAAGTCAGGATTCAAACCCAAAAGTCACTGGAAGCATTCTAACAACGTGCACACGCACAGTCCGCTAGGCCATATGAAACAGGAGTTGTCACTGACCCTGGCAGTTAGATGCAGATTCGCCAGGTCTTGAAACGCTTCTAAACCGATCGATGCTTTGAATCGCTTTAGTCACGTGACCAGGTGTTTAGAAACGCTTTAATCACGTGACTTAGGTGTTTCGGATCATGCTTCGGTGCAGTGTTTCGAAACACTTGCGCTTCGGGATCTCGACACATCAGTTTCATGTCAGCCATCCCTAATCTGAAGTCTCAATTCCACAAGTAAAAGTTGTGAACAACACACAGATAGTGTCAAATTCATCTTTCTTTACAACTCTTCTGTTTCTTTGTTTGTTTTTATCAGGAACTTGAAGAAATCCGCAAGTCTGGGATGAAAAACTTCCGTAACATTCAAGTTGATGAATCAAACATATTGACATGGCAAGGCCTTATTGTTCCAGTAAGTATTTACAATATGTTCATCTTCCCCTATGTATAATGTTTAGAGACAGGGAATGGTTTCTTTCTAAATACGTAAAACACAGCTTTAAGAAAATCGTCTGATGACATTTCTTTCAAATTTAAAAGCAAAATATTGTTGTTTAGAGTGTTTTCTTTCTCGTCAAATGGTCAGAATAAAAATATTGCAATGCTCATTTACATTTATATAGAACTTTTAGACAACACGGTATTAATGTTTTAGCAAAATGCTTAATTTAAATGACTCTTTATCATAGTCTAAATCAGGGGTGGCCAACCCTGTTCCTGGAGAGCCACCTTCCTGCAGATTTCAGTTGCTACCCATATCAAACACACCTGCCTGTTATTGTCAAGTGGTGTTCAGGTCCTAATTAATTGGTTCAGGTGTGTTTGGTATGGGTAGCAACTGAAATCTGCAGGAAGGTAGATCTCCAGGAACAGGATTGAGCACCCCTGGTCTAAATGCTCTAAATCAGTTGTTTCCATAGTGGGGTTGGAACCCCTCGAGGGGTCGCAGGATAATGAGGTGGGGTCACTAAGTTATTTTCCAAAAGTCAAATTCATTTTATAAAAATATTAGAGTAAGCATATTTTATCCATATGCTACATTTCTAACCTCAATTAAATACACCTAAACCAGCTTATCAAGCTCTTTCTAGGTATGCTAGAAACTTCTAGACAGATGTGTTAAGTCAGTGGTCACCAAACTTGTTCCTGGAGGGAATTTAGCTCCAACCCTAATCAAACACACTTAAACAAGCTAATCAAGATCTTACTTGGTATAATTGAAACATCCAGGCAGGTGTGTTGAGGCAAGTTGGAGCTAAATCCTGCAGGGACATCGGCCCTCCAGGACCGAGATTGGTGACCCCTGTGTTAAGGGAAGTTGAAGCTAAACTCAGCAAGACACCGGCCCTCCAGGACCAAGTCTGGCCACCCCTGCATTAGATTAAAGACATAGCAATAGGGTCAGATGCAGCATATTGATTTCATCCTAACAGTGGGGTCCCGGCCCACAAAGGGACCCCAGCAAGCTCTGTGGGTTGTCGAGTCATATTTAAATTTTTAGCTGTGAACAATAAGGAGATTGATCATGTTGCCTTGGTTCATTTTATCCCCTGCTGACCAAAAAATGAACAAATTTGTAATTCGTACTCCACAAAAAAAGACATTCTCACTGATTCGCCTTCAGCAGATGATGGTACTGACCCAAGCATACTGGACCCAGGGGAGGAAGCTCCAAACGTTTTGGGTCACAGCGCTAGCAATACTGGAAACACCAAGATAGTTACCTGAACTATGGTTTTATTTCATTTGCTCAAACCAAATGACCCAGCCACTATAAGTTCTTGCTGACGAATGCATGAGGCCATCCAAATTAATAAGACATTTGCAGACGACTCATCCCAAAACCCAATATGTACCCAATACAAATGGCCTACTAATGTTTTGCTTTTAAATTTTACATTAGGATATTTTTTGTGCACAAACATGTCTAGATATAGGAATAAACAAACTGTCTTTTTTGGACATACCTACTGCAAACTTAAGTGAATGATACTATTATTAAATATGGTGGGGGGCCTTACAATATTTTCCAGGGGAAAAGGCGGTCTTAGGCAAAAAAAAAAAGATTGGAAACCACTGTGCTACAGCTTACTGTAGTATTAACTATAATAAACTATATTAAATATTGTAGTATACTTTAGTTTTTACTATAGTAAACTGTGATTTATTGTACCATGGCTGGATGATAAATAGCATGCCATTAGCTATGTTTCCATCCACCTATTTTATGCGCATTTTGCAAATGCACATAAAAAAAAACAGTTGATGGAAACGCCATGATCCGCATAAATTTTGAAAATGCGCATAAAAAACGTATGCGCCTAACTGGGTTGGATAAACTTTTTATTCGATAAGAAAAGATGCGCATAAACTGCGATGGAAACACTTTTACCACACAAACTCCAGCATGCGCATTAAAAAAGGTCATGTGATTTTGTTAAAAGAGATCATGTGACGCTTAAAATGTGTGTGAATGGATAAAACGTCAGGCTGAGCACATAATAAAACATCTGAAATGTTGTTTTGGTCATTAAAAAATGCCTTACCATTTCAGTATTAATGTTATTATATTATTAATGACCTCCAGAATCAAGAGCACCTGTGCTCCTTCAAACGCCACTGCACGCTCACTGCTTGTCAGGATTGTCTTCGGAGGTGCATTCATTTAGAAAAGATTGATGCAGCTTCTCCTACTGCAGCAAATGCAGTTTTTACTGTTGATATTTTGCGCCAGTTAATCAGGAAGTGACTATTTTGTTCGCTTTGACTCGTTGGATGGAAACGATGCTTTATTCGCACAACTTTTATGCGATAATCCAGTTTTGCGCATAGTTTATTCGCATATTTGGATGGAAACATAGCTGTTGTCGTTTACAATATACTTTAAAGCCGGCTCAGCAATCACCTGTGAATCTCCAGCACGTGTGTTCACCTGGTGCAGTGTTTACTACACAGAGCCATGGTTCTGTCAAACTATGCAAAATACTGCATGCAATAGTCAAATTGCAAATAATCATTCTGCGATACTGACAGCTGTTTGCGTAGCTTCTGGGCGAACTACAGCCTTTTGTAGTAAATGATGTTAAAGTTAAACTTGAATGCACATGCAAATACCACATATGATGTCTTTACTCAAGTTACCTTATAGGTCGAGTCGAGTTTTTGGATCAAGTCTTCTGTGGAATGATGCTCGATTTAGGGAAAAATCATAATCACGATTATTTTGGTCATAATTGTAATCACAATTATTCAAAACGATTATCAGTTGAAGTCAAAATTATTAGCTCTTCTAAGAATTTTTTTTTTTTAAATAACTTTTTCCCAAATTATGTTAAACAGATCAAGGAATTTTAACAGTATTTCCTCTAATATTTTTTTTCTTCTGGAGAAAGTCTTGTTTTATTTTAGCTAGAATAAAAGCAGGCTTAAATATTTTGAAACCCATTTTAAGGTCAATATTATTAGCCCCCTTAAGCAATATATTTTTTGATTGTCTGCAGAAGAAACTACTGTTGTACAATGACTTGTCTCATTACTCTAATTAAGCCTTTGAGTTGCACTTTAATCTGAATGCTTGTATTTTGAAAAACATCTAGTCAAATGTTATGTACTGTCATCATGGCAAAGATAAAAGAAGTCAGTAATTAGACAATCTATCAATACTAGTATGTTCAGAAATAAGTAAAAAAAAAAAAAAAAACTTCTTTCCATTAAACAGAAATTGGGGGAAAAGGGTTGCTAATATTCTGGAGGGCTAAAAATTCTGACTTCAACTGTATATTTACAGTTATTTTCCACCCTGCAAAGGAAAGAGAAATAAATACAATAGAATAAAAATATAAAACAAACTGTGATTTAAGCATCTTCACCCTAAGAAAAACACTAGCTACAAAAATCCTTCAGTCAAGAGCAGTAAGGGATGTTCTCGTCGTTTGATTAATAGTGCGAAATGCTGCCGCCTTTTTTACCGTCACTTTAATGGTTTCTCCTTCACGTGTCTTTTGATTCTCAACTCGTTTGTTTATCACGCAAATGAGGGTTAATATGAATAATCGCTAACCACCGCGTTTTGACACCTATTTGACCAATAAAGCGCTCATGTTAAGAAGACTTTAGATGTCTGCGCTCCTCTGCTCGTCTCAGTGTGCGAAGGAGACCGAGGGCTGACCGCTTGCTTATGTGTGTGCGTGTGTTGCACACACACATAAGCACGTGGTCTTTTGCGCTTTTGGTATATGATACAACAAGCGTTTATGATTGGTTTAATGGTTTTTCGATTAATGGTTTTTCATAATCGTTAGAAGCCATAATCGAAATCAGATTTTCGATTAATTGCACAGCCCTAGAATGATGTGGCTTCTTACACTAAATATGCTCGCTACATATTTATATAATAGCATTCTAAGGCGTGACAAAGAAATTGCATCATTACATACTTTATTTTTAAGGAAAATTATAAGATGAACTCCTAATGTTGTCATGTGTTTATTAATGCGGTTGATTCAAATGACAGCAGTTATATCTTATGGTTATCCTACTTTGCTATAAAATAACCAAAGTAACCTATTATAAGTAATAGTACTAGATTTACCAGTAATTCCTGTTTTTTGGGTGGCATATTTGGCCCAATATTTGCCCCATTGGACCTATAGAGTATCCAGAAATGTTGTGATGTCAGATTTGATCTAGTATCATGTTCTCATAATTGATTTGTTTGTATTCGCGTACAGGATAGACTGACTTGTGATCACCTCATGTACATTCTTGTCTCACAGGACAACCCTCCATACGACAAAGGGGCATTCAGGATCGAGATCATCTTCCCTGCAGAATACCCTTTCAAACCACCCAAGATCACGTTCAAAACGAAGATCTACCACCCCAACATTGACGAGAAGGGACAGGTCTGCCTGCCTGTCATTAGTGCAGAGAACTGGAAACCAGCCACCAAAACTGACCAAGGTAAGCCTGAAACAAACACACAAGGCAGACTTTACTAAAGCTCAGTCCTGTCCTCATTTCCCTGTGTAGAAATCATGAATAAATAGCTTTGAGATGATGTTTGTATCCACTATCTGTTTGTAAAGTAGGCAACAGCCTTTTCAGTCCCTCCAGGATAAGTCCAATGATTCTCAAGATAAAAAAAGAATATGTTTACAAGATTTGTGTATTTTCACAGCAAAACACAAGAATTTAGTGCTGTAAGTTATGAGGGAGGCTGCGACAGAAATATAATAAAACAAATTCCTGTAAAATCCTGGAGAGACTGCTTTGTGGTAAACTACCAACACATCATATAAATAAGACGTTTTTAATTTAAGAGGCGGTATGTTATGTAGTTCTCTTTTATCTCACTAAAATTTTTGGAACTGAAAAAATGAGAATATACACAATGTGAGAAGGTCTTGTCACCTATCCAAGTTTTAGAAACCATAAATAATAACTTGACTTCTACATGAACATTTGGTATCAGAAGTGGCTTATATCAGTGGTTCTGAAACTTTTTGCATCAAGTACCACCTTAGAAAAAAATTGTCTCTCCAAGTACCACCAAAATGAGCAGTATTGAAATACAATAGCATAGTAGACCCAGTAAAGCAGCTGAAATTCTGCACAGTTAAAAAAAAAACGTGGCAGTTTATCTCGGAAATATAGGCTATATGTCATATATGGCATATTATATACATCATTTTTGATAAATTTTTAAATGTGTGTAGCATGTACATATTTCATTCCCCTGCGTACCACTAGAAGGAAGCCTGCGTACCACTAGTGGTACACATACCACAGTTTGAGAACCACTGGCTTATATGAAAGGCAAAGGCCTCTAGATTACGCTTATTTTACCAAAATAAAATATGATCATGCCTTGATTTTTAATTATTTAATTAGGACAGTAAGGTCTGACTTTGCTTAGACAAAAGTCTTGTCACTCAACAGAAATAAAGTACAGTATAGAATATAAAGTCATGATGCAGTGGAAAAAGCATTACTATTGTGTATGACTTCCATGAGCTTGGAGGACTGCATCCATACATCTCTGCAATGACTCAAATAACTTATTAATAAAGTCATCTGGAATGGAAAAGCAAGCGTTCTTGCAGGACTCTCAGAGTTCATCAAGACTCTTTGGATTCATCTTCAATGCCTCCTCCATCTTATCCCCATACATGCTCAAAATATTCATGTCTGATGACTGGGCTGGCCAATCCTGGAGCACCTTGACCTTCTTTGCTTTCAGGAACTTTGATGTGGAGGCTGAAGTATGAGGAGGAGCGCTATGCTGAAGAATTTGCCCTCTCTTGTGGTTTATGTAATGGGCAGCACAAATGTCTCTACCTCAGGCTGTTGATGTTGCCATTCACTCTTCAGATCTCTCGCACACCTCCTCACTGAATGTAAACCCAAACCATGATTTTTCCTTCACCAAACTTGACTGATATCTATGAGAATCTTGGGTCCATGTTGGTTCCAGTAGGTCTTCTGCAGTATTTGTGATGATTGGGATGCAGTTTAACAGATGATACATCAGAAAAATCTACCTTCTGCCACTTTTCTAAATGATCAACTAGAAGTCATTATTTGTTGGTCTTACAACTGGGAACAAGACTTTTGTCAGGAAGTGTATACATTACAGAATAATTGAGATGTGTATGTATAGTTTGAGTTAAAATAAATTAACTAATTTATATTCATCAGGGATGCATTAAATTGATTATTGGTGACAGTACAGATATTTATAATGTCATAGAAGACGTCTGTTTCAAATGAATAAATATCCAAGAGTCATAAAAATATTAAGCTGCTCTTGTATTCTAAACCTTTATAGTGAAAAGTGTTGAGCAGCAAATCAGCTCACTTGAATGCTTTCTGAACGATTATATGACGCTGAAGACTGGTGTAATGATCTTAAATTCAGCTTTACATTAATGTGTAATTTGAAATTTGTGATTTTTCAGAAACCCAAATCATTCTGAACCCATCATAGTTGAATGGTAGACTGCTATTGTTGCTTGTGTATAATATTGATGTTATCTGTTATCGTTTGGTTAGATGAGTTCTTTTAACATATATGTGGTTGTTCTACTGCATTCTCATGACGTCACGCATTTCTTCAGAAAACCCCATTTATTTCTAGAAGTTTAATTCATGCAGTACTTAAACGTATAGTTCACTCAAAAATAAAAATTGTCATCATTTACTCACCCTTATTCTGATCCTGTTTGACCTTTTCTTCTGTTGAGTACAACTTGTAACTTGCATAGTATCTATTTTTCGAGTTACAGGTTTTCAGCTCTTTTTTTATTATCTTTTGCGTTCATTGGAAGAAAGAAGCTCATAAAGGTGTGCAACCACTTGATTAGTAGAATACATAGTGGGAATTTTCTTGTTTGGGTGAACTGTCTCTTAACTTAGTATATACAGCCCTTTAAATGAAGTTTAGTTTTTGTATCATGTTTTGCAACAAATGTTTCCATTTTCTTTCCTGTATAAACTAGCACTTTTAACACTAGAACTACAGAAGCAGTCATTTTGTCCGTTTATTTTGTAATGTAATAACTTTAAAATAAAACAGATATAACTAAAGCACCCTCTCTTTTCCAAAATGTATGTATATTTCATTCTAACATTATGAGTTCTTAGTATTTCTGTATTTAATGGCCATTTCAGCATCTGGAAATTTTTCCCATGCCTTTAAACATTTGAGTCACTTTTTGCAAACAAAAACATTACTTCAGACATAACTTCAGTCTTTTAAACTTTCAAAACAACATTTTTCCACTGAGGTTTCCCTCCCACTTGCTGGACCAAGTGCGGTGTGCACCTTCTCAGGCAATCTATTAACTTAATTACTAGATTTTTTTAACACAAATATAGGTTATATTACAAAAAGGTTGTAATTTTTTCATAAAATATGAAGACAGACATTTAAAGCTTAAGTCTAAAATCTCAATAGAAGCTTTGAATGTAAATATGACCCTTAATTTCTATTTGGTACAGTCTCGTATGAACAGTCAGACTGACCGATATGGCCATTCTTGTAATTATCAGGCTTTCTGTGGGGTCTTAAAATGTCAAAATCCAAATTTTAGGCCTCAAAAAGTCTTCAATTTACTGAAATATTGTGTTGTAGATCTTAAATCTTATGGATGCAAGTAGTTTTTTATATTTAAAATATTTTGCTAAGAAATTAAATCTTAAATATTTTTATTATTAATGTATTATTGTTTTTTTAAAGGTATAAATATTTTTTTTGAATGGGCAAATGAAAATCTTTTCCCTCTGGGCCATTTGAAAAATTCTTTTGAGTCTAAAATTTCATTCATGGTCTTAAAAATGTCCTAAAAGTCTTAAATTTAACTGTAGAAACCATAAGTTGTAGTCTCAAAGTGATTATTCACCCAAAAGTGAACATTCCATCATCATTTATTCTCTCTCCACTTCTTTTAAACCTTATTGAGTTTCTTTCTTCTGTTGAATGCAAAAGGAGATATTTTGAAGAATGTTGGAAACCTGTAACCATTGAATTAAATTGTATTTTTCTCCTTCAATGGATCTCAATGTCTACTGGCTTCCCACACTTTTTAATATATAAATATTATTATTGTTTTGTGTGTGTGCTCAACAGAAAGTTTGAGGAAGAGTAAATTGTGTGCATATTTTCATTTTTGGGGTGAACTTTCCCTTTAACCTTTTGCCCAAAACACATGGATGGTGTCTCTAGAATATTTACTACAAAAAAAGGCAACTTCTGCATTTTATCTAATATTTCAGAGCTCATTTGTGACTTTTTTTTTTTTTCTTCAGAATTGCAAATTATACATGTAAAATTACAAATTACGATGTGTAAGATTCCGTTGAACTGTCATGCCATTATAAACTCCCCACATTTGAGTTCTGTTTTGTTTAAAATCAGTCATCTTCACTGCCTGATTGAGATGCAATATAAAGTAGGTCTCACACAGGACAAGAAGCACAACATTAAACTACATTGTTCTGTGTCATGTCTTAAAATACAAACATTTATTTTGCCACAGTATTATCAAAGAATTGTCTGCATTTGCTGCTCCTCACAATGCTTGCCTTTCAACTTGTTTTACACCTGACAAAACTAAATGAATGCTTAAGGCCTTGATCACAGCGAACACGTTTTCTGCATTGAGAGGGGCCGTATTTTAATGGTTTTCTCATGGCTGCGAGCATTTAAGGCATTTTTGCCATTGTGCTCTGTGCGCCTGCAGTTGAAAAAAAAGGTAATTCTCTGTGGAACAACCACGCTACTTCAGTCATGTCTTTTGATGAGAACAGAGGCGGGGTTTCTGTTGAGCTAACAGCAGTGTTGTCAAGACGACTCCGGAAACTTTTAAAGATGGAGCAGAGACTAGTGCTCGCTGTTTAGAGTTATCTGGAGCTGTATGACTTCACAAATTGTGAATATCACAAAGTTATAAAATTTTACAATTATAGCAATATTAAAAGCAGCACTGATGCACAACACACAACTGATTTAGTGGTTGCCTAGCAACATAAAAAGTGCAGCACACTTTTTGTCAAAAAAAAAGGCAGTACGGTCCACCTTGCATTCCCAGCATGGAAAAGCATGTTCAGTGTGATCGGCCTTTTACTGTGCATTCACTCGGGCTGTCAGTGTTAAAAGGTTCCATGATATTAAAATAAAGTTTTTTAAATGTCAGTATCAGTATTGTCGTTTTTTTAGGATATCTATAAGCTAGTGTGCTCTGAAACAGTGACAATTTGCATTAAGAAGATGTGAAACCAATATAAGCCGTGGTTTCCACTACATTCATTGTTCCATGGCGGGCGCCACACAAAAATTCCTCCCGCCACGCCTACATTACAGCTTCTCATTCAAAACATTTGTTGTTGTTTTTTTTAAATAGCATTTTTTTTACGTTTTTATTATTTTTTTTTTAAATAGTGGGTTACAATCTAACCAAAACGTATTAAAAGGTAAGTGAATTATAACAGCGCAAACTTTTCTGTAACCGTAGTAGAGCTGTGTTATTTGTTTAACCCTTAAAGGTGACACACTGACTGACAGGTGTGTGAGCTTGAGCCTAGCAAACAACAACGTAGCATTCAGTTAAGATGAACACAGCTTCCAGAATTATACTTTATTTTTAGACAAAATTCTGTGGTTCTGCATACAATGACTTTATCTTGCTGGAGTTTACAGCCGTTTCACTTTACTTCATGACGCTTATTAATGCCACTCTGTAGGTCTACTGGAGACATTCATAAATATTCCTAGCCAATTTAATAAATCTTGAAGACATACTTGTTACATAAACGCACTAACTCACACTTCAGCATTGTTTATTTGAGAGCGCACAAGAAAATCTGCACTTGAGCAGCGTATATTTGAGGGTGTGCAAGAAGTTTTGTGCACGAACAGAGGAAATCGGCTCAAGCAAAGAGATTTACATGCTCGTATTACATTAATGTGATCTCAATGTGTAATAATGCACTCCCGACATTTGTCAGTGAAATAAAGCCATAGATCTGTGTATAAGGCCTGCCGCCACAGCTGGAAAAAATCCTAGAGGAAACATTGTAAACATTTAAAGCCTGCAGTTTGTCACTTCCGCCTGAATGGATCAATGTTTTTCAGTTCCTCGTCAAATCTTGACCAATTAAATGCTCTTAGTATTTGAAATGCCCCGCCTCCTTCAAGACGCTTCACATTTGATGCGCTTTCACATTTTGATCTCACTGGCAGAACTGTGATAAAGCAAAACGCTATTGGCTGGTTTTTAAAAAGGGGAGGAGCTACACCATATATCCCACCCACTCTTCGTGTTAAGGTTGAAATTGCGTCAAACATCGAATAAAACTGCAAATTTTAAAGCACTTCACAGGACTTTTAACACTTGACAGAGGGCGTGTCTGAAGCTTGGCGCTAACACGATCATCATAGCACCGTCAGCCAATTAAATTAGACCACAATTGGCTACTGTCTGAGGTGGGGTATTTGCATAAAGCGATTTGATTGGCTGACGCTTTCATTGGCACTTGTAAAGTTGAAAAATTCCCAACTTCTGCCATGTGTAACACCACTGACGCAGTGCCGACGGATCCACGTTAGCCAACGCTTTATATCACCCATTTAAAGTAAATAGGAAGCATTGACGCTAACGCCCATGTGAATTTAATCAATCTATTTGACTGTATTTTGATTAAGTTACATTATCAATGCTGTAAAAGGAACCATGCAAACTGAAGATAGTCACAGGAAGTAAAACAAAACAGAAGTGTCCCAATACCCTTGAACGTTGTAGTCCCCTGCAGCGATCTCCACTGGAATGTTAATATGTTTTTGCAGTGACCGGTGATAATGTACATTCTTTCCTCTCTCTCTCTTCTCCAGTAATCCAGTCGCTCATCGCCCTGGTGAACGACCCACAGCCAGAACACCCTCTGAGGGCCGACCTAGCAGAAGAATACTCAAAAGACCGTAAAAAATTCTTTAAGAACGCAGAAGAGTTTACAAAGAAACACGGCGAAAAGCGGCCAGTGGACTAACAATACCTGACAAGTGTGTAGCCCCAGACCCCCTCCTCCTCCTCCTTTTCTGATCCTCTCCCCCTTCGCTCTGCTACCCAAACGCCATCCTTTATCCCTTCCTCCAGCTTTTCCCCTCCTTCTCCTTTCCACGTGTCACTGTAGTCGAGCTGGAGAAGATCAGCGCCGCTGCAGCCTCCGTCTTGAAGCAGGACGCCCTGAGGACATCCCATCAGTTTCTGCTGTTAGCTTGAGGCCCTTATACTAACTTTCTTACCATGTTGTTCATTTTGGTTTTAATTTGTTTTCTTTCTAAATTTGGTTCGAGGATAACTTAAAAGACACGGAAGTCGGAAGTTGTACTGGGGCGTTTCAGTTGTACATGCTGTTGACCCTTTTTTGTAATGAAATCCAATCATTGCGTTGTTTATTATTATTATTATTACACACAACTTTCGGAAAGTACTTTTTGGAAGTGACAGTTCATTTAAATCTGAATGGATTGTAATTTATCATGTATATTATTATTGTTACGTTGTTCCCTTGCATTTTATTAACTTTTTTGATTTCTGCAAAGTGAAAGGAGACGTGTAAGGAGGTCATGCAGCTGGAGGATTTCGGCGACGGCGACAGATTATTTCATATATATCTTTTTACTTTTCACTGCACTTGTTGGGTTGCACCGTATGTCTGAGGAACAGGCTACTTTCAGCCCTTTACCAAGCCTCAAATCGGCAAAACCACTGTAAAGTCTGAAACAAGCGGCGGCTTAAGAGCCGATGTTGCTATGAAATACTTTTGTTTCACAAATGAAAAAAAAGGAAGGATGAAAACAATGCTCTTTGTGTGAGTGAACGTAATTTTTCCATGATGATCACTAATTTTAAACATCTTTTAACACGTTTCATAGGAAACTCTTGTATATTGTTGATTATTTGGGTTTAAACCTACAAATGGCCCCTAGGATTACGGACATGTGTGCTACTGAGGATTATTACTCCCGTTTTTTTCCCCCCCAGCACAGAATAAACGCAGTAGTTTACCATCAGTTTTCTAGAACATTCTCTTCGAAGTATATTATCCTGTCGGATTTCATCTTAATGGTTCCTTACGCCACTCTTTCTAATGCAAATGGACATTCGGGCTTTCTCTAGTTAAAGATATTCAAGTAATATTTGCTTCTGGATATGGGTGAAGTCTCGCAGTATGCCTCAAAGTTTTTTATTTTCTCGTTAAAGGCTTACTTTTCGGTCATTTAAAAAGCGCTCCAGATTTTGTGTACCAAAATAAAGGAAGACCAAATGCAGGAGAAACTCGGGTTTGATTGACTTTTGGGTTTTTCTTATTGAAGTCAACCGATCCAAATATCTTAAAAGAGCATTACGGATTTTGTGTGATGAAATCAAATCCAATCTTGAGAGTTTAGCGATTTTGTTTAACCTGAATATATTAGCATTAGTGAACTGTATGAAGACTACTAGTTAAACCCCCAAACTTGTTGCTTCAATTACAGCTTATTCTGAATTAAGCCGTCAATGGCCTGAATAACACACACAGGTTATAAACATGTTAACCCTAATATGTGACAAACTCACCAAATAAAGGCTATTTTGACCTAGTTTTTGAATGAGTTTCAATAGGATGGATGGATGAATACGTACATGTGCACATAAGTGGATCAAAACCTTTCATTGTATTTGGCCTTAAACTATTAAATGGGGTGTAAATGAGTAATACAGTAGTCAGCGCTTGACGTGGATCAAAACATTTTTCAAAATTGTCAATAGACAAGAATAAGTGTAGGACAACTTTGAAGAAAGGTGATGACCTACTTCAAATGTTGATCTTACGCCTTATCTAAAAATAAATAAATGCATAAAAATTACACATACTTTCACATTACATTTTTAAAAAATAAACATATTAAAGTGTTTAGTTGCTTTTTATTTATTTTAAGTGACTCAGGATTTAAATATATTGCTTTTGTTTGCCCATTTATGTCTTAGGTTGATTTTGATCAACTTCTTTTGATCCATTTCTAATGTTGAGTACTGAATATTTCTGATTGGTTTATCTTTTCATACTTACTGTAAAATCCTTGTTATATATGTTGGTGGTCCTCCAGGATTGTGGTTGAGAAACACTGCTTTATAATATCAACATGGATTTGAGTTTTTCTGATCAAATCCAGGCAAAATTGCACATTCCTCTATTAAGAACATACCCAGAGCAGCTTTACTACATAATATCATGTTAAAATTTAAAAACTGCAATCTAACTTCATCTTGGGGGTTTTGTTGAACAATTACTGCAATACAGTGTTTCTCAACCACTTTTCTGGAGGACCACCAGCTCTGCACATTTTCCATGCCTCTGATTCAGATCTTCAGCTCATTAGCAGAGACTGCAAGACATGTAATGGGTGTGACAGACAAAGAAGACATCCAGAACATGCAGTTTTGGTGGTCCTCCAGGAATGTGGTTGAGAAACACTGCTATAATATACTTCTCTACTTTAAAGGGATAGTTCACCCAAATATAAAAATTTGGGTTTCAGTCACTCATTATTGTCTTGTTCCAAACCAGTTGGAGTTTTGTCCTGTTGAACACAAAGGAAGATATTTTGAAGAATGTTAAAAAACCTGTAACTATTCACTTCCGTAGTGTTTGTTTTTCCCAAATATGGAGGTCAATAGTTACAGGTTTTCAGCTTTCTTCGAAATATATTTTCTTTTAGGTTCAACAGAAACTTGTAAATCATTAGAACTATTTCATGGTAAGTACATTTTCATTTTGGGGTGAACTAACCCTTCAACATGTAGCAGCTTAAGATGATTTAGCATGGCTTTGGAAGCAGCACAAAAAAGAACCGAATGCCATTTTTCTGGCTTTTCCCAAAATCAAGCATTCAGTCTATTTCGGTGTTTCTCAACCACGTTGCTAATGAGCTGATGATCAGAATCAGGTGTGTTTGGTTAAGGAGGCAGAAAACATGCAGAGCTGGTGGTCCTCTAGGACTGTGGTTGAGAAACACTGATCTAGAGCAGTGTTTCTCAACCTCGTTCCTGAAGGACCACCAAACACTGCATGTTTTGGATGTCTCCTTTGTCACACCAACTGCAGGTTTGTCAGTCTGCTAATGAGCTGATGATCTGAATCCGGGTGTGTTTGGTAAAAAGTGCAAAGCTGGTGGTCCTCAAGAAACGTGGTTGAGAAACACTGATCTGGAGCAGTGTTTCTCAACCACATTCCTGAAGGACCACCAACACTGCATGTTTTGGATGTCTCCTTTTTCACACCCATTACAGGTTTGTCAGTGTACTAATGAGCTTGATGATCTGAATCGGGTGTGTTTGGATAAGAAGACATGCCAAAATGTGCAAAGCTGGTGGTTCTTCAGGAACGTGGTTGAGAAACACTGCTCTATATAATAATCTTTTGAGGTATGAGTCGAGATCTTCTATCCTTAATGTTATTATCCAACCGAATACTCTGAAGTGTTTAAAAGTCTTTGAAAGCACACAGATGGATCCCTTGTTGCCTGTAAAAGTTGAGCACCATTGGGTCTCTTAATGTGTTCAGCTCATGTAGTCGATCTGTGGACTGTGAAAAGTCGTCCGGTCCTTCTCCACATCCACCCTGCTGAGGTTGACTGGGATATCCTGGATGCACCATGAGCTCTGCCGTAACCGGTCGGTAGCAGTTGCTCGCTGCATTGTTGGACTGTGTCAGAATCAATGGAGAAGATACACCGTCGTCCAGTGAAGCTTCCAAAGCACGTTTTAGGTTGGACAAACACATGTTCTTACCCATGGTGCTCAGGCCCAGGTACACGTCAGGCCATCTGAGGAGCCATACAAAAACAGCAACGAGTTCATTTGGTTTCATCTGGGAAAATTAGATTTGATTAAACATAATACAGTGGAAAAAACGTGCTGAATAAGTTGGCGGTTCATTCCGCTGTGGCGACCCCAGATTAATAAAGGGACCAAGCCGACAAGAAAATGAATGAATAATACAGAGGAGAAAATAAGTATTGAACGTGTCATGTTTACTCCTGGGAATATTTCTAAAGGAGCTGTTGACATGAAATTGAACCAGATTTTGGTAAAAACCCAAACAATACAATTATAAAAATAAAACAAACAAAAAACTGTCATACCGATGAAACAACACAAGAAGAAAGTGCTGATCAACTGAAATGAATTTAGTACTTTATATAAAAGGCTGTTTTGGTGATGGAAGCTTAAATACGCCTTTCATATGGAGAATGAAGTCACATAAATTCCTCAGATGTGAGTTTTTCACAGACTTCAACAGAGTGTAAAAATCTGGATGTTTCTGTGGGTCTCATCTACCAAATCGGATCTTTAATTTGTGTTCTTTATTGGATTCGTATCAGGTGATTGGCTGGGCCATTCCACAGCTTGATTTTCTTTCTCTGAAAGCATTTGAAAGTTTCCTTTGCTGTGTTTTGGATCATTGTCTTGCTGAAATGTCTCTTCATCATTCTGCTAATGTAGATGTTGGACTGAAGCAGCTAATATTCATTTACAAATGATGAAGGGCAGAAGGTTGCTGAAAAACCAGCTGCTGTCTGGGCTTTTACTGCCTTTCTACCTCTCCCTTTCTTCATGTGTTCAATAAATTTTCCCTGTGTCATTTCATTTTATTACACATAACTTAATTTTTTAACTAATTAGATTTGTTTCCTTTGCATATATGGATTTCTTTGGTTGTTACCAAAATCCAAATAAAAAATCAACGGCACCTTTAGAAATATGTTTTGTATTCAATACTTACTTACCCCACTGTATGGTTGGCCAGAAGCCACAGTACACATCTAATTTGTAGAATCACTGCAAAGTTTAACTATAGCACAATGAAAGTTCATCATCTGCATGTGTTTTTTAAGCCTATGACTGCTCACTGCAAAAAAAAAGAAAAAAAAAAAAAGCTTTTCTTACTTGATATTTCGACTAGAAACAAGTCTAAAAATCTTAAATTAAGAATCATTTTCTAGACAAGCAAAAAATATTGTCTTGTTTTCAGAAATAATATGGTGTTTTTTCTTAACGAGCAAAATAATCAATGCAGAAAAGCATTTTTCTATTTTAGACTCCCCAGATAACTGTCAGAGCTATCTATTCATACAAACTGGTGAAACTGTAGTCATATCACAACAGTTATCACAGAAAAATGTATTATTGCAGATTTTTCCAATATCATGCAGCCCTAAAATATAGACAAGATTTGAAATACGAAATGCATGTAGAAAATATTTAATAACATTAAGCAGTAATTAATAACAATTTTCATTTTTTTGGGTGAACTAACCCTTTAATGTGAGCTTTTATTCTTATTTACACACTGATCAGCAAACATAGGATGAACTGTACTTTCTTGACATGAGAGAACAAACTCACTGGTTGCATATCAAGCAAACATTGTGACCAAATTTAAATTCTGCTGTTCATCGATTGTTGTTCAATTATTTATATGTGAATAAAACCAACTAGTTTATCATAAAATGAGTTTGTGTTACCTGGTTTGACCTGGATTAAACCACTTCATTCATTTTTGTTTTATACACGTGACCCTGAATCACAAAAACAGTCATAATTTTCATTGTCATTATCAAAATTTGACAATTTAGAAATATTCATCACCCAAAAGCTGATTAAATAAGTTTTCCCAGTGTCTTATGGTTTGTTAGGACAGGACATTATTTGGTTGAGATGCAACTATTAGAACATCTTGAATATAAGGGTCCGTAAAAATTTGAGTATTATTAAATATGCATTTAAAGTTGTTCAAATTCCCTTCTTAGCATTGCACATTACTAATTAAAAATGTAGTTACAGAATTATTTTTTTTTTCGATAATTTTGACTCTATTCGCAAATATATACCCATGCAATCAAAATAGTTTTCTGATCCAGGGTCATTTATATGTTAATATAACTTCATGAATAATTGGAAACATCAAAGTTTTGTGTTAACTGAGACATTAGGAGGGACAAAAATCTCAGATTTTATTTATAAAAATCCTCGTTTATATTCCAAAGATGAACATCTTGAAATGCATCACAAACCTGATTCCATTCCGATGAAAAACCTCAACAGATTCAAGGGCATCTTTTTCCACCTGCGCGTTGAATTCTCTCAGATGGGATGGGAGGAAGTTGCAAAACCTTAGACCGGGCTCTATAGGGACCCGGGTGTAGGTGATCCCAAAATCAGAGAGAACTTGTGCAAAGACCTCTCGCACATCTGAAAAAAATATTTTTTAAAAATTATATTCAGCAAGGACTCATTAAATAAAAGTAAAAATGACAAAGACGATATCTCGAATGTTACAAAAGATTTTAGCTTAAAAAATATCTTCTTTTGAAACAAATTTAATAGTTTCCAGAACATTATTAAGCCCAATGAACATTGAAAATATAAAACAAAACATTTCAGTATATCAAGTCAGTATATTAGAACGATTTCTGAAAGGTCATGTGACACTAAAGAATACAGTGGTGAGGCTGAATTAAGCTTTATCCCGCACAAATAAATGTCAATTCAGACCATATTCAACTGCATAACATATACTTTAAATAGTAATAATATTTCACAATATTTACTGTATTTCAGACCAAATACAGCAGGTAAAATAATTAAGCACATCACCAATTTTTTAGAAAAACATATTTCTGAAGATGCTGTTTTCTTTTGATGTTGGAAACAACCAAAGTAATCCATACATACAAAGAAAAGAATTTATTAGAAATTGTGTATTAAAATGGAATGACACAGGGAATAACTATCAAACACATGAAGAAAGGGAGGTGCAAAAATGCATGGAAAGCCCAGACAGCAGCTGAAATATCTCAGTAGTTTTCAGCAATCCTGCCCCTCAGCAGTCTAAATAAATATTAGTTGCTTTAGGGCCGGTACACACCAAGCAGTCTCGTTCCAACTAGACCAAAAAGCAGCACGTGAACATAGGGAATAGACGAAAGCAGACTAAGCAAAGAGTGCGCATTCGGTGCCTGCGTGGGAGGATGCGTCTCTCCGCACACAGTAGCTGTTTCTACAACAAGAAACCGTTATCTAGACAAGTGGTCCCCAACCTTTTTATCATTGCGCACCACGAGCCATGTGACAAGAACTGACCAATCAGATTTTACCCGGTCCACGGTAAAATTTTCAAGCGTTGATTGTTTGCTAAAAAGGTTGGGGACCACTAGTCTAGATAATGGTTTCTTGTTATAGAAACACCTACTGTGTGTGAAGAAAAAAAAAAGAATAACAATAACACTGAGCAATGCCTGTAGCTGTCATTACAAAAAAAGCCTTTTATACAAAGTTTTACATTCACCTCAGTAGTTCAGTAGTACACTTCGTGTAACCTTATTGTTATTACACATGATTATTTACAAAAAAAGATTTGGGTTCTAGCTCCTTTATATATATATAGGAGCTACAAGCAATGCTCAGGTGCGATTGTTATTCATTTATTTTTCCAAACTTCAACAGAGGTTAAAAATCTTGACGGTTATGTGGGTCTCGTCTATAAACTCTGATCTTTAGTTCTTATTTTCTATTGAATTCAAGTCAGGTGATTGGCTGGTCATTCTAGCAGGTTTATTTTCTTTTCTGAAACCAGTGGAGAGTTGCTCTTGGCTGCTTTTGTGACAATTGTCTTGCCGAAATGTCCAGTTGGGGGCTGTTTCATGAGGGTCAAATATAAACGCTGGGATATATATATGTACACCATTACCTGGCAACACGTGCACATGCTGGTGTCCATCCATATGGTAAGGCATGTGGCCAATCAGTTCAAAGAAGCGATTCACCTGGGCTCTAAGCTCCGCCTCCACCTTTCACAAAGAAAACACAACACAGCTTAAGCAAACAGTTTGAACGAATCAGACAAACAGGTTTCAAATAGCAAAGCATTGAGGAGTGTTTCATGAATGACTAACTTGTCCTTGAACTTGTAAATATAAAAGGTTAATTTACAATAAAAACAGTCCAGAAAGACCAGTAATTGAAACTAAGCTTCACTAAACAACATGTATGGTACAAAAAAAGGTCAGAGAAACAGTGAAAAAGAGTAAAAAAATATATATTACGTGAGTTTTTGGTGCAAACATACTGATACTACAACTGATTAGGAAAATGTGTAAATTAAATGGCCACATTTTAGCTGTTTTTGAGTGCCAACTTCAGTTCAATGAGTACATCAGTCATAATAACTCCTCATATGAGTAAGATAATAAAGCTCTTACATGCTATTGACTTGAGCAACCTTTAACACTGCTATATAACATCAGATGTTCAATTAAAATAACACACAGGCACACACACACTCAAGTTTGAATGCATTACATGTGTGTATCTACAATATTTTGCCTCAACTATTGCATATGTTTGCTTATTTTGTAGCCATTTGCTTTTAGGGTTGGGTCGAAAGACGATGCCATCATCCATCGCCGATGGCCAGTAGACATCAAGATGCAGAGTCAGCATCGCAATCCTCCACACCGCCCCCCTCGCAGCAGCAACCCGCTCACAAAAAATAATTTAAAATTGGTAGACATCGCCAAACCCTATTTGCTTTAGCAATATCGCAATGTTTTACCACATTTTCCACAGTTAGAGCGAGATCATGTCTATCAGCTCATAGTAACCTGTGTTAGCTACCTCTTCGCAAATACTTGGTTGATCACCATTGGCCACCAAGATCGTAGTCAAAAAAAGACGAATAGTCAGAACAGGCGGCAAAGAATCAATAACAAGAAAACAAGACAAGGATTAAAACACAGAAAGACTAGACAGGGTTAACGCTTCTTAATGCTACAAGTTAACAGGGAATAAGACTCAGCCAAGAGTGTGAGAATGTGAGGTGTATAAATAGTCCAAGTAATAAGTCAACCATGAGCTTCAGCTGTCTGTGCAAGTGTCTGAATGATTGTCAGCTGTGGCAGGAGTGATGAGTGCAAAGACTTCTGTTCTGGGAGTTCATATGAGTGGCACATATGAAGAGTTCTCCAACAATCTCCACAGGCTAGATCACTGGTGATCATGACACAATGGGAAAAATATTACATTGCCCGAAAGTTTTTGTGGTTAAGTCTGTATATCACACCATGTTCCCATGTGACATTTGGTTTTTTAATTGTTTGCTTGTTTCTATTCACCTCTGACATCTTGAGCTGACCACTGTGCAAAACTTCCCTGAAGCCCATCTTGCCATGAAAGAAACCATCCTTGTTGAGGAGTGTTGAACCCTTCAGTTCCTGAGACACTGGAAGACCTTCGGAGAGATTCGCATGGAGTCCAATGGGCATGTGGTACCTGTATGTCACAATCAAAAATGACATTTTGAGATTCTGTATTAGATTTTATTTATCTGGGGTCCACACAACAGAATGAACTGCCAACTATTACGGCATATGTTTTACACAGCGGATACCCTTCCAGCCGCAATACAGTACTGGGAAATACCCATACACTCACATTTACACTCATATACTACAGACAACTAGTTCACCTATAGCACTTGTCTTTGAACTGTGGGGGAAACCGGAGCACCCGTAAGAAACCCATGCCAACACAAGGAGAACATGAAAACTCCACACAGAAACTGGCTCAGCCAGAACTTGAACAAGCGACCTTCTTGTTGTAAGGCGACAGTGCTAACCATTGAGCCACCATGTGGCCAAAGATAAAAAAATATAAAAAATGTTTAGCTGGTTTTAGCCTGTTTATTTAGTTAATTAAAATAAATGTAATTTAAATGAAACGGTTTTTATTAATAGGTAGCCAATTTGGTTCTTCTTTGATCCCTTTCTAACGTGGGTTTGGCAAAGTGTACCAAAAGCAAACATTTTTACCCAGCGTCCTACCAATTTTACCATAATTTTACCACAGTTTCACTTTCATAGTAAAAACACAGTTGCACAACTTGTTTAAAGACTTATTTTTACTCTCTAGCCTTTGAGTGATGCATGCATGTTATGTTATACCTGTATTTCAGCTCATACATATATTATTTTTCTCTTATATTTTAATACTAATTTATATTTTATTTTTATTACTGTAAAGCATTTTGGATCAACTATGGTTGTGGAAAATTGTGCTCTATAAATAAAGTTTGCTTTGCACCGGCAGCCAGCTCTCTGGACTCTCACATGGTCGCCCACTGAAGCTAAGCAAGGTCAGTACCTGGATGGGAGACCACATGGGAAAGCTAGGTTGCTGCCAGAAGTGGTGTTAATGAGGCCAGCAGGGGGCGCTCAACCTGTGGTCTGTGTGGGTCCTAACGCCCCAGTATTGTGAAGGGGACGCTATACTGCTCAGTGAGTGTCATCTCATCTCAGATAAGACGTTAAACTGAGGCCCTGACTCTCTGTGGTCATTTAAAATCCCAGGGTGTCCTTCGAAAAAGAGTAGGGGTTTAACCCCGTCATCTCAAATTTGCCAACTTGCCTCTGTCCATCATGGCCTCCTAACCATCCCCATATCATCACTCTGTCTCCTCTCTACCAATCAGCTGGTCTGTAGTGTGCAGTCTGGCCCAATATGGCTGCTGTCACATCATCCAAGTGGATGCTACACAATGGTGGTGGATAAGGAGATTCTCCCCAATATGAAAAGCACGTTGAGTGTCTAGAAAAGCGCTATATTAATTATTAGTTATTATTATTATTATTATTATTATTATTACATTATGCTTTCAGTTACACTTATGAAAAAACAAAAACTTATATTATTTAATCAAAAAAGTGCATTACTCTAATATATTCCTAACATAACATTTCATTTGAATATCCACTATTTTTTGCAAGCAATGTTTTCTGGAAGCATGGTAATAGTTAGTGATTTGTGAATTGTAAATGATCCTGATTTGTTGCACAAGAGCCCCTTTCACACAGTGATACCGGTAAATATCTGGAAAATTTCCGGAACGACTTTACCGTTATATTTAAAAAAGCGCTGTTCACACAGACGAGGACGTTACGGAAATTTTCCGGAAAAGAGCATTCACACATCCATTCCAAAATACCGGTAAATTCTGACATCATTAACCACAAATGAGCTTTAAACGGCTGCGCTTGTATTTGTAAACATTTTACTAAATTACAAACTCTGTGGATGATCAATATTGTTAACAACTTTCACAGGATCGCTTTCGCATGTCGAGATGTTCATAATATGTGCGTGTGCAGGCGCTTTTCACAGGCACACGCAAAGCTTGAAGGTAAACAAACAACGGCTTATCATTAGCATCTCATCGATGATTATTTACACATTTGGCATTAAGAAGAACATATAAACGTGATCTGACTAACTTCTAGCAGCTAAATGTGTCTGGAAAAATATTCAAAGGCTTTTATTCTTACAAACCGCGCGGACGTAAATGCGTCTGACTGTTGTGATTGGCTAAAGCAGACGTCTCACGTCAGCACGTTCTAGACATGCACGCGCTTATTATGGCAATCTTCCTTCTGCATTCACACAGTGCAGCATTCCGGCAAATTGCCGGTAATGTTACAACTTCTCTTTTCGGAAAATAGCCCGAACGAATTTACCGGTATTTTCAAAAAGGACCTGTTCACACATACAACCTTTGTGTAAACCTTTTGTGTAAAGGTCTGTATGTGTGAAAGGGGCTAAGGTTTCTGCTGGTTTTTTGTGTCATTGTTGTGTTGTAAATTAGTTTTTAATTTGTGGTTTGTGTCAGACGGCTGTGTAATGAATGCAAACAGCACTGTTTAATGCTTATGTAAACAACCCATTTGCTTAATCTAAAAGATAAACAGTCCATACAGTATGCAATTCAAATAAGTAATGTTGCATTCTGTGACGCATCTGAAGAGTACTACAATGTTACAGTTTATCAGTTTGTAAAATCAGTCATGGCACCAGCACAGCCTCCAACATTATTACACAGGCAGCACCACTGATTCACAATCTGGAGCCCTGAAACACGTCCTGCAACTTTGTAGTAAACAAACATTGTCAGCACATGTGCACAAGAACTTACCTCTATACTATCTACAGTATCTACCCTATCAGCTTTTACTGTCGGCCTACTCTTATCTTTGGCAGGAGGTTTAACCTGTTCACTTGTCTGAAGGGAGTTTTGTATAAACATAAGAGACTTGAAATGAAAAGTAGCGACAGTTTTAACAGCAGTACCTTTTAGCCAGGTCTGCCGCGTGTTTCGCTGACACTGCATTCACCAGGAGAGAGACATTGGAAATGCCACCAGCTCTGAAGCAATCCACAATCCCTTGATTTCTCCTCTCGCAGTACCCAAAATCATCTCCTGTCACCACCAGCTTCACTTTGGGTTGAGGCATCTTCTCCTCGCCGAGCTGATGAAAGAGAAAAACACAAACTGGTATCACTTCTTATACATAGGGCTGCACAATATATCGCTTCAGCATCGATATCACAATGTGCGAATCTGCAATAGTCACATCACAGGATCTGCAATGTTGCGTAGGGATTGCAATTAACCAGAAAACACAACAATTTTTAGGCCTCCATGTGACTTTGCAGGATTTCAAGCAAATTTAAACCATGTGGGCACTAGAAATGATCAAATGTATAGCTTTAACAAAGAATAACTGCATTTAATTATTTCTACAATGAAGACTATAATAGTTAACATTTAAAGTGGATCAAAAATGTCTTTCAAATATGATCCGAGACCAGAACGGATGTTGTTGAATGCTTTAATGAAAGGTTTTAGTGTTATTTTACATTTGATATTTTAATTTCTGTGTCCTAATACTATTAGACTCTGCAGAAAACCAGAAAACACTGTATATTTAATTTGTATCTTTGTATTTATTATTTATGCTTGTTACAACATTGAACTCGCGATTGAGATTACTACAATATAATTGGGTAATGAGACTAATATTACTCCTGGAAGATTAAATAAATGAAACCCTAATATCCTGGATCTTTGTTTTTAATGCAATGTACATTTTTATTGTGTGTGGGAGTGTGAGGAGGAAGAAAAAGTTTAGGTGGAGGTGACTCGATATATTTCACAATTTTACTTCCATTCCAATTCTTTATGTCCAGGATTATGTATATTGAATATGTATGAAGACAGTTGTGCTTTGTCTACTAAAGAAAGAAAATTGATTGATTTATGTTTAATACAAGCAAGGCGTTGCATTGCTTTATGTTGGAAAAATGTTTATTGCCCTCTATTGGACTTTGGTTAAGAAACCTAATAACATGTTTGGCTCTTGAAAAGAGAGAGAGAGAGTGAGAGAGAGAGAGAGAGAGTCAAAAAAATTTGAATTCATAGGGGAGCTATTAATTCTGACTTTAACAGTATATGGCAGAAAAACTAAATATCACAATGTCCATTTTTTCCAATATTATCCGGCCCTAATATATATATATTTATATATATATATATATATATATATATATATATATATATATATATATTTATTATGTATGGTATTGTTTATGTTGTGTGTGTGTGTGTGTGTGTGTGTGTGTGTGTGTGTGTGTGTGTGTGTGTGTGTGTGTGTGTGTGTGTGTGAATATATATGTGTACAGTTGAAGTCAGAATTATTAGCCCTTCTTAGAATTTTTTTTCTTTTTTAAATATTTCCCTAATGATGTCTGATTATATTTTTTCTTCTGGAGAAAGTCTTATTTGTTTTATTTCGGCTAGAATAAAGGCAGTTTTTATTATTTAAGGGTCAAAAGTATTAGCCCCTTTAAGCTATATATTTTTTTCTGATAGTCTACAGAACAAACCATTGTTATACAATAACTTGCCTAACTACTTTAACCTTCCTAGTTAACCTAATTAACCTAGTTAAGCCTTTAAATGTCTCTTTAAACTGTATAGAAGTGTCTTGAAAATATCTAGTAAAATATTATGTGCTGTCATCATGGCAAAGATAAAATAAATCAGTTATTACAGAGGAGTTATTAAAACTAATATGGTTAGAAATGTGTTGAAAAAAAATCTCTCCATTAAACAGAAATTGGGGAAAAAATAAACAGGGGGGCAAATAATTCAAGGGAGTTAATAATTCTGACTTCAACTGTACATAGACATACATGAATCTTTAGATGACATGACAATATTATTTTAAATATTTTATAAACATAATAAGTATTACTAATTGTTTTGCAAGAACTAAAACGTCACTAATTTATTTTTATCTTTCTTGACAACTATGTCAGTAAATCTATTAATTTTCTACCTGAAAATTAATAGTTGTTAAAATCTTACCTATTATTTTTGTGCTGAACTCAACCATAATAAAACGTTAGAGTAATTAAATATTGTTTTACTTTTTAAAATACTGGCTAACTATACACAAATACATTAAGTTTACTCACCTGTCTTGTGTTATACTTTAGAGATTCAACAAATGGTGGTAGACTCAATAACAAATAAAATATCTCTAAATCTAACGTAATTACCGACCTTAAATAAGACATTTGTCCAATACGACCTCAGGCAGTCTGGGAGAGTCTGTTAATGAAAGTAATTTCCAACAGGAAACGCGTCAATATTATGAATCGTTACTATGAAACCCACGTCATTCAAACGATAATGATATCTGTTCAAATATAAAACGAAGCGATGATGCGTTGTCTCCGCCGCAGAAAGCTGATTAACGCTAACGTTACCGGGGAAAACACCGGCTGGTGGAAAAAAATACAGACTAACCTTTTAATTCACTTCAGCGGTGTTAGCACGGTCAGCTGCCACTAAATTTACGATGTACACTGACAATTAAAGACCTAACGTAACTTATACACGTATACTGATTAATGGATAACGTTTAATGTAACCTTATGAATAACCAGGAATTTTAGAAACAAACCAGTGTCCTATCATTTATCATACGGGTTTGTTCTATACACCTAGCTAGCAGTAGTGATGTAGAGGTAGCTTACCCATTTTATAACGCGGTTTTGGCCATTATAAGTGCCTCTTTAGTGCCATTAGTCCAGCGCTGAGGAGCGAATGACCGACTGAAGACATCAAAATGTAATTTCCTTTTCCGGAGTTGTAGCGCCCTCTACAAGGTGCGATTAAAACAACGCCACATGTACAGGGCATTTGATGCGGGGATGGATGGATCTTTGTTTAATCTTGTTTAAATGCCAAATTCTGGCCCTACCATCTAAGGAACGGAGAAATGAAGACATTTTCTAGTCTTTTTATTGTCTAGTTTTGGTGTAACCATATGAAATGTAGTCTCAGTTTGCTTTTTTAATCAGACAAGAGTCCTTGCTGTGTGTTCTTCTGCTGCTGCTGTTGCTGTAGCTCATCTGCTTCAAGGTTAAATGTGTGGTTACCATAAGTAAGCAAGAACTATTTATATTGTTTATAAAATTACTAGTGCTGGGCAAAGATTAATCATGATTAATCGCATCCAAAATAAAAGTTTGTTTTGACATGATATATGTGTGTAGTATATATATATATTAATTATATATATACAATATGTTACACAACGACACAGTGGTGCAGTAGGTAGTGCTTTGCCTCACAGTAAGAAGGTCGCTGGTTTGAGCCTCGGCTGGGTCAGTTGGCGTTTCTGTGTGGAGTTTGCATGTTCTGCCCGTGTTTGTGTGGGTTTCCTCCGGGCACCCTACTTTCCAAAGACATGCGGTACAGGTGAATTGGGCTAAATTGTCCATAGTGTATGAGTGTGAATGACTGTGTATGGATTGTTTCCCAGAGATGGGTTTGCAGCTGGAAGGGCATCTGCTGCATGCGTAAAAAATGTGTTGAATAAGTTGGCGGTTCATTCTGCTGTGGCGACCCCGGATTAATAAAGGGACTAAGCCGAAAAGAAAATGAATGAATGATTGAATATGATACACACACATCCATATATAATTATACAAAACAATTTTGTTACAGAGATATTTACATTTTATTGTATCTGCATCACATACAACACAGTCTCATGGTAATTCGTAACTTTTTGATTTAGTTGCTAATTCACATGAACTTGTTCAATCTCATTCATACAATTTAGTACGATTTGCTTATCCCACAATAACGGTTGGGTTTAAGGGTGGGGATTGGTGCCACGCCTCCTTTTTAAAAAGGTTAATTTTCGTACAACTGAACTTGTACGAATTTGTACAAATTAGCCACTAAACTAACAAAAAAAAATAGATACACTTTCTCGTGAGATCAGGCTGCAACAAACATAGATTTGTTATCTAAATATAAATAGACATTTTCTCAAATATGCATGTGTGTATTTATATATACAAAGTAAAACATACACAGCACACATACATATTTTAAGTCAAAACAAACTCTGGATGCAATTAATTGCGATACATTTTTGCCCAGTACTAAAAAAAATTACCCATGACCAGTGGGAAAAAGTAACATTAAATGTTAAAATCTAAAGTTGCTTAAAAAGAAACTGTTACTTAGAACAGCGTCACAAACATTAGCCTATGCTATGTTCATGTATCCATGCTCATGTATCCGCAGTTGTATCCCTTTTACCATTTAGTTGTGTTGTGTGTTCAGAGATGCTCTTTTGCTGACCTTAGTTGTATCAAGTGGTTGAGTGACTGTTGCCTATCTATCCTCTGACTAGAGGCATTAACAACGCAATCTGCCCAAAATTAATCACCTTAGTGGATAATTCGTACACTGTAGAAAATACTAATTACATTACATTTTTAAGCTGAATCAAATTACACTCATAAGTCATTTTAACTTAAATTACATTACACCGACTTCAAATGGCTTGTATGAGTTTTTTTTTAAATTGTTAAAACATTATAGACTTATTTGAAATAGTTATAATTAACCTAAAACATCTGTTGTCGTGGTGTTTATAAATTTTGGTATTACCCTTTAGTATCAATTGGTCAAACAAGGCGGGGTTAGGAGCATGTCATGTTTAGAAAGGTCATATATTTAGTATGACTGACATCATATGCATTTGAATGAATTAGCCACTTTTTCGTCAATATGTTAAGTACAGGGCATCCAGAAAATATTCATAGTGCTTAACTTTTTCCACATTTTTTTATGTTACAGGCTTGTTCCAAAATGGATTAAATTCAATTATTTCCTCAAAATTCTACACACAATAGCCCATAATGACAATGTGAAAAAAATATTTTTTTAAATTGTTAAAAATTTATTAAAAATAAAAAAAACTGAAAAATGACATGCGCATAAGTATTCACAGCCTTTGCTCAATACTTTGTTGATGCACCTTTGGCAGAAATTACAGCCTCAAGTCATTTTGAATATGATGCCACAAGCTTGGCACACCTGTCTTTTGGATTTTTTTCCCCATTCCTCTTTGCAGTACCTATCAAGCTCTATCAGGTTGGATGGAAAGTGATGGTGTACAGCCATTTTCAGATCTCTCCAGAGATGTTTAATATGATTTAGGTATGGGCTCTGGCTGGGCCACTCATGGACATTCACAGAGTTGTTGTGAAGCCACTCCATTGATACTGCTGGAGGATGAACCTTCACCCCAGTCTAAGGTCATGAGCACTCTTAAGCAGGTTTTCCTTCAGGATGTCTCTGTACATTGCTGCATTCATCTTTCCCTCTATCCTGACTAGTCTTCCAGTTCCTGCTGCTGAAAAACATCTTCACAGCATGATGCTGCCACCACAATTCTTCACTGTAGGGATGGTATTAGCCTGGTGATGAGCGGTGCCTGGTTTTCTCCAAACGTAACGCCTGTCATTCACTCTAAAGAGCTCAATTTTAGCCTTATCAGACTAGAGAATTTAGTTTCTTATGGTCTGAGAGTCATTTAGATGCTTTTTGGCAAATTCCAGGTAGGGAGTGGCTTTCGTCTGGCCACTCTACCATACAGACCTGATTGACAGACCCTGCACAGATGGTTGTCCTTCTGTAAGGTTCTCCTCTCTCCACAGAAGAACGCTGGAGCTCAGGCAGAGTGACCATCCCCCAATCACTTAGCTTAGATGGCCGGCCAGGTCTAGGAAGAGTTCTGGTGGTCCCAAACATCTTCCACTTACATTAGAACTTTCAGAGCAGCAGAAGTTTTTCTATAACCTTCCCCAGCCTTGTGCCTCGAGACAATTCTGTCCCAGTAGTCTAGAGACAATTTCTTTGTCTTCATGCTTGGTTTGTGCTTTGACATGCACTGTCCACCCTGGGACCTTATATAGACAGGTGTATGCCTTTTCAAATAATGTTCAATCAACTGAATTGACCACAGGTAAACTCTAATTATTAAGCTGCTGAAACATCTCAAGGATGATCAGTGGAAAATAATGTACCTGTGCTCAATTTAGAGCTTCAAGGCAAAGGCTGTGAATACTTATGTACACGTGATTTTTCAGGGTTTTTTTTTAACAAATTTGCAACAATTTTACAAATATCCTTTTTCCACATCGTCATTATGGGGTATTGTGTGTGGAATTTTGAGGATATAAATGAATTTAATCCATTTTTTAATAAGGCTGTAACATAAAAAATGTGAAAAAAGTAAAGCGCTATGAACACTTTCTGGATGCACTGTATTTGTTGTCCTACTGTATATAAACATAAAATATCCCAATACATCAGATGCTGCAATCTGGCAACCAAAAAAATATATATATTACATAAATCATATTTATTATATATGCTGATGCTCAATGACAACACTCCTAAATTTAATAAGTTGCTGACATGAGATTGGGCGATTAATATTAATGGGCATTTAAATAGGTTTACCTAACTGCTTACCCACACTTATAAAATGAACAGTACATTTGATTTGTTGCCCAATAAAGGGCATTTCTGAATAAAAACAAGTTGCCATTTTGAAGTGTCATTCCAAACCAAGTACTCAAAACTGGCAACTTCGAAGGGCCCTTTGGAATTAAAGATTTCTTAGGATACAACTGATGGACAATACGGACCCCCATGATTCTTTGTGCAGGGGAAGTGGTTTGGTGTTGCGCACAGCGTTTTCAATAAGAAAGGACTCATCCCTATGTCGTATTCCCTTTGAAAGTGTTAGGGCAGAGGGACGAGTCCTTCTGAATGGAATTATTTAACATTAGAAATATCTTTCAGATGTCAGATCATGGAAACAAATGTAAAACTTTACATAAATGTTTTATTATTTTACATTCCCCACTGCTTTATACTAATAAACATCTATTTAGTGGATGAAAGCCTTGTCTCAAACATTTAAATAAGTTTTAATTATGAATCATTTTACCAAACTATTATGATCTCAATCATTGTCGCTGAGGAGGATATAGCCTTACTCACCAGAGCCAGGAGTTTGCTGTTATGAATGTAAACTGAAGGATATCCTTGTACACAGTCTTAAGGAAGCAGGTGTGACTTTGCTCACGTGTCTGTGGAGGCTTTTGGATGTTTTCCCAAGGCTCGTAACCTCAGTTAGAAATATGGAAAACATCACAATAACACACAGAGAGAGGATCATGTTTACGACCTTTGCTTGTGCAGGTGCTTTCTGATTCAGCCACCTGACATAACAATAACACACATTGCATCGTGTGTAGATTACAGTTGAAGTCAGAACTATTAGCCCCCCTGAATTATTAGCGCCCCTGTTTATTTTTTCCCCAATTTCTGTTTAACGGAGGGAAGATTGTTTCAAAACATTTCTAAGCATAATAGTTTTAAAAACTTATTTCTATTAACTGATTTATTTTCTCTTTGTCATGATGACAGTAAATAATATTTTACTTGTTATTTTTAAGACACTTCTATACAGCTTAAAGAGACATTTAAAGGCTTCACTAGGTTAATAAGGTAGACTAGGTAGGTTAGGGTAATTAGGCAAGTTATTGTATAACTATGGTTTGTTCTGAAGAGTATCGAAAAAAAATAGCTTAAAGCTAATAATTTTGTCCCAAAAATGTGTTTTAAAAAATTAAAAACTGCTTTTATTATAGCCAAATTAAAACAAATAAAAATTTCTCCAGAAGAAAAAATATTATCAGACATACTGTGAAAATTTCCTTGCTCTGTTAAAAATCATTTGGGAAATATTTAAAAGGGAAAAAAAATCAAAAGGGGGCTAATAATTCTGACTTTATCTGTATGTATGAGAATAACACTGTAGTCTAAAACAGCTCGTTGATTTTTACCTGACATTTAGTTGAAAGTTCAAATGTCCCACTTATAAAAAACGGTGTCCTAGCTGCTTCTTTTTTAACTATTATTAATTTCTCATATTTACCACAAAAATGCTATATGCAATATGCAATAGCAATATGCTATTATAATATTGAAATCATAGTTGAAAATATTTGGCTATGGTTGATTAGGATAGATGATAAGAGTTTTTGAGATGAGATATTCTAAGATTCTGTACTAGTTGTTTTATTAATATTAAAACATGCTTAAAATAAAAACAAAAAAACAAATGAACGTCCTGATGAATCCTTCATGAGAAATATCCCATAAGGGCAATTATATTGCTGGCAGCTAGCCCTCTCTGCAACTCTCACATGGCTGCCCACTAAAGCTAAGCAGGGTTACACCTGGTCTGTACCTGGATGGGAGACCACATGGGAAATCTAAGTTGCTGTCAGAAGTGGTGTTAGTGACCCCAGCAGAGGGCGCTCAACCTGTGGTCTGTGTGGTTCCAAAAACCCCAGTATAGTGAAGGGGACGCTATACTGCTCAGTGAGCACCGTCTTTCGGATGAGACGTTAAACTGAGTTCCTGATTCTCTGTGGTCATTAAAAATCCCAGGATGTCCTTTGAAAAGAGTAAGGATTTAACCCTGGCATCCTGGCCCAATTTGCCCACTGGCTTCTGTCCATCATAGCCTCCTAACCATTCCCAAATCGTAATTGGCTTCATCACTCTGTCTCCTCTCCACCAGTATGGCTGCTGTCGTGTCATCCAGGTGGATGCTGCACACTGGTGGTGGATGAGTAGATTGCTCCCAAATGTGTAAAGCGCTTTGAGTGTCCAAAAAAGCTCTATATAAATGTAAATAATTTTAAATATTTTTATTATTATATGTTATATTCGACGCAGTGGCACAGTAGGTAGTGCTGTCGCCCCACAACAAGAAGGTCGCTGGTTCGAGCCCTGGCTGGGTCAGTTGGCATTTCTGTGACAAGTTTACATGCTCTCCCCGTGTTGGCGTAGGTTCCTTCTGGGTTTCTTCTGGGTGCTCCTGTTTCCCCCAAAGACATGGGATATAGGTGAATTGGGTAAGCTAAATTGTCCGTTGTGTGTGTGTGTGTGTGTAAATGGGAGCGTATGGGTGTTTCCCAGTGATGGGTTGCAGGCGAAAGGGCATCCACTGTGTAAAACATGTGCTGGATAAGTTGGCGGTTTACTCCTGATTAATAAAGGGACTAAGCCGAAAAGAAAATGAATGAATGAAATTCTTATGAGAAAGGCATACTACAGTCATCTGTATTTTATTAAACCAGTTATTTAAAAAATACATTTATTTTTATATTTAATATTTTTTTGTTCCAAATTTCCTTTTTTTCCTTTTTTTTTCCTTTTTTTTATTCAAGAATAAAAATATGCAACCACAATCAGGAGATCAACATAAGAGTGATACAAAAGAAGAAAAATACAAACTACATTAGCAGCAGACTAATAAAACAAAGGAAGGGGTAAGTAAATTACAATTGTATAAAAGTGTATGAAAATAAATAAATAAAGAGCATTACAGGAAAGCTATCTAAATCAAACCAGAGTCAATAGACAACCGTTCTTCATATAGAACCAAGAATCTGACACATTTTTTGTTGTTACACATACGGAAAGATTTGAGCAGTGAGTCAACTTCAATTAGAAAATGTCGAAAGGTAGGGACTGAAGCCAGGCATTTTTGCTCATGTATTAAAAAAAATACCAAACAAGATAAAAAAAGTTGAAAATTTAAAGATTGTGCAAGGGTAGGAGAAGTGTTTAAATAATGATAAAGGTCAAACCTAAATTTCTGAACAAATTCACACATACAAAATAAATGTATTATAGTTTTATCATCCTTACCACAAAATCTACAACTACTCGAAATATCAACATATTTGGAAACAAATGAGTTAGCCCGATATATTTTATGCAATATTTTAAAGTGGATTTCTTTAGTTTTATTAGGAAGGAAGTATTTATTAGGCAACAACCAAGTTTTTTTTCTCCAATCTATATTATTAATTAATGCAGCCCAATGAAATTTGCCTCGCGGAAAAATACGATTTCTTTGCTGAAGAATTAGATGAATATGCTTATTATTATATTTCTTATCATGAATGTCAATGCCGTCCAGCACTAATGCTGATTCCTTCATATTTTTGTTGTATTGTATTGTATATGACTTTTGACCAGATGCATTAAATCTGTGGGGATAGCCTCTACGAACAGTATTATATTCTCTAAAGGAAATAGGAAAGTCATGAAGTCATAAAGCGCTCATAAGACAGTAAGTTACCAAAATCATCAAATAAAGAAAATAAATTAATTAATCCTCCATCAAACCAATTAGGATACAAAAAGGGATTTATTTCTAACAGTTAAATCTATATTATTCCACAAGATAGTTTTGTGAGGTGAGAAGTTGTGAAGGTAACACAACTTCCATGCAGGAAGAGCCTATACTGATGAAAACTGGCTAACTTAACTGGAAGTTTACTATGCAAGAAATTACATTTTAAAATAAAGGAGAGACCACCGATTTTATTAAACATAAAACTCGGAATGAAAAATTTGGGTTTAATAAACATCTTCTTAGCCAATTTATTCTAAATGCATTGACAGATCTAAAAAATGTCTATGGCTTCAAGTCCCCCTCACTTCAACATTGTGATATCACATTTTTTTTTAATTTGTGGGGGCTATTTTTCCATAAAAGGTTAAAGAGAAGTTTATTAATGCTTTTAATAGTACCATCATTTGTACAGAAGGAAAGTGAAGGGTAGACAAAGCGAGAAAGACCTTCCGCTTTTGAGAGAAGAACCCTACCATATGGAGATATATCTTTTTGTAACCAAAGATTAAAAATATTTTGTGATGTCTTTAATCTACTAGTAAAATTAAGATGCTGCTTGGCTATTAAATGTTGTGATATGTAAATGCCTAGATACTTTACTGAGTCTTTAACTGGAATACCTTCAATTATTTTGTTATCATATAGATGCAAAGACATTATTTCACATTTGGAAAAGTTAAGTTTTAGCCCAGATGCACATGAAAATAGTTTAACTATCTGAGTGGCTCTATATATATATATATATATATTATATATTTATTTATTTAATTTTTTTTCTGTAAATATATTTTTTCATCCCATCAACTACAACGTGACGTCACACCACCCGTCGACCAATCACTTGCCTCCGTGTATGTTCTCAGATCGCTTCCTTGTTTTCGGACTTGTCATGCTGCGATTGGCTAGAAAGCGTGTCAGCGTTTGAATGGGACTCTCCGTATCCATTTTTCTGTGATGTACATAGACGCCGGCTGCAATGATGGGGCCGTTAAGAGTCATGTCCGTGTTTTTGGATTTAATTTTAGTGTGTTTGGTGTTTTCTCCGTGCGGCGCTCGTGATGTGGACTCCAGCTACGTGACGTGCGGATCTCTGGTCAAACTGATGAACACTCGGCACAGCGTCAGACTGCACTCGCATGATGTCAAATACGGCTCAGGTACAAATGTTACCGGTGTAAACTTCACCTGTGTGGTCCATGTAGCCTTTAGCGGTCTGCTAGTCTACTGTGTAATCCTCACTTCAAGTTTTCTATTCACTTGAATTGATTACAGTGCTGCTCAGTGCCATAACAGCTGGTGCATGGATGGATTAGCCAGGAAGCTAATGATCAGTTTTGCTAATGATAATCATTTTTGACATTATTGTTTAGTAGAGTTGTGTATCTGTCTTGTATCGACCCATTTCACCTTTATTTTGTTTACGATATATTGTGTTACATTTATTATAAACGATTTATGTAATCATGACAACAGGTGCACTACAAAATACTAAAATGTACAATGGTTGTAACGTTAACCATTTTGTCCATGAATGGATTAGCCAGGAAGCTAATGATAATTTAGCTAATGATAATTATTCATTCATTCATTCTCTTTTCGGCTTAGTCCCTTTATTAACCGGGTCGCCACAGCGGAATGAACCACTAACTTATCCAGCACATGTTTTACACAGCAGATGCCCTACCAGCTGCAACCCAGTACTGGGAAACATCCATACACACTCATTCACACATACACACACACTTCTGATAATTTAGCCTACCCAGCATCCGGAGAAAACCCACGCGAAGACGGGGAGAACATACAAACTCCATACAGAAACGCCAACTGACCCAGCATATGTTACACACAGAGGATGCCCTTCCAGCTGCAACCCAGTACTGGGAAACATCTATATACTCTCATTCACACAATTCAATTCACCTATAACGCATGTCTTTGGACTTGTGGGGGAAAGTGGTGCACCCAGAGAAAACTCAAGGCAACGCGGGGAGAACATGCAAACTTCACTCTGAAATGCCAACCCAGCCAGGGCTCAACCAGCGACTTTCTTGCTGTGAGGCGACAGTGCTAACCACTGAGCCACCATGTCGCCCCGATAGTTGTTATGCTATTTATGATGTATCTATCAGCTACTATGGGGCTGATTTCTGTTGAATGAACTGTAATCTGTAAGAGTAAACAATAATTGAAACTATAGATTTAAAATAATATTTTTCTTTAGGTGTAAAGTATTTGTACAGGGCATCCAGAAAATATTCATAGCGCTTCACTTTTTCCACATTTTTTATGTTACAGGCTTATTCCAAAATGGATTAGATTCAATTATTTCCTCAAAATTCTACACGCAATACCCCATAATTACAATGTGGAAAAAGATTTTTTTAAATTGTTGCAAATTTATTAAAAATAAAAAACCTGAAAAATCACCTGTACATATGTATTCACAGCCTTTGCTCAATACTTTGTTGATGCACCTTTGGCAGCAATTACAGCCTCAAGTCTTTCAGAATATGATGCCACAAGCTTGGCACACCTGTCTTTGGGAATTTTTGCCCATTCCACTTTGCAGTACCTTTCAAGCTCTATCAGGTTGTATGGGAAGTGACGGTGTACAGCCATTTTCAGATCTCTCCAGAGATGTTCAATAGGATTTAGGTCTGGGCTCTGTGTATGTTGGCAATAATTTTGAGTGTCTAAATAAAACCTAAAATACCTAAATAAAATAGATTATTAATAAAGAACAAATGCACATTTCACTCAGTGGACGCAGATATTTTAGCAGTTATTTGGGTAAAATATTTGTATAGTTATCTACAGTATATGTCCTTACAAAAATTACCTAAAATACTAGTTTAATAATAAAATAACAAATGTATATTTCACTCAGTGGATGCAGATATTTTAGCAATAATATATCTGTATAATCGAATCCTGATTTGATGCTGTTAACATTATTTATAACAACATTATTATAGCAACAATTACTGATTGCAGATGTTTCTAAATGATTCTAGTGTACGTCTAATAATTTATTAACTATAGTTTTATCATTGTATTTTAATATCATACTAAAAGTACTACAGACTATGTTAATCATTGTTTAATACTCGATTATTCTATATATACTATGGTAATAAAGTAAATACCACAATAAAATGGAGATATTTACAGTTTAAGTCAAGATTTTTGACTCTGAATTTCCTTTCTTCTTCAAATATTTCCCAAATGATGTTTAACTAAGCAATGAATTTTTCACAATATTTCCTATAATATTTTTTATTCTGGAGAAAGTCTTATTTGTTTTATTTTGGCTACAATAAAAGCAGTTTTTGGTCTTTTAAAAACATTTTAAGGTCAATATTATTAGCCTTCTCGAGCAATATTTTCTGTTGTCTACAGAACAAACCATACCATAACCATTGTTATACAATGACTTGCCTAATTACCCTAACTTGTCTAGTTAACCTAATTAACCTAGTTAAGCCTTTAAATGTCACTTTAAGGTGAATTCTAGCATCTTGAAAAATATCTAGTAAAATATTCTGTACTGTTATCATGGCAAAGACGAAAGAAATCAGTTAGTAGAAATTAGTTATTGAAACTTGTTTAGAAATGTGTTAAAAAAAATATTTTCATTAAACTGAAATTGAGGCCAAAACAAAAAAGAGGGGGGCTAATAATTCAGGAGGGCTAATAATTCTGTCTTCAACTGTATATGTTCTAATTTCACAAGCATTGTTTACACCTGCAGGAAGCGGGCAGCAGTCAGTAACGGGTGTGGATTCAGCTGATGATGCCAACAGCTACTGGCGTATTCGTGGAAAGCCAGGCAGCATTTGCCAGCGCGGGGCACCCATTCGATGCGGACAGGCCATCCGAATTACACACATGACCACTGGACGCAACCTACATTCCCATCACTTCAGCTCGCCGCTGTCTAACCACCAGGTAAAACACAATACTCTCCTGTCTTAAAACTGCCGTGAAATAGAAGCTGTGATCGTATTTTGCTCTCTATTGTGGCGTCTCTATTGTGAAGAAAACAGGTTCTTGAGTCTTAAAAAATGGACTGGGTATCTATTTTCATCAACCCAGTCGCAAGTAAACAACATTAAATCTCATTGTAAATAAAGTCAGAAATTTTTAAGCTTTCCACTTCTATATTCCAGAGTTGAAAGAGAGGAGATGTCATTGACTGAACAGGGGAAATTATGTTCATTTTATATTGTAAATGCATGTATATATAAATAATAATTGTGCGCAAAGGTAAATCATTTACACTATGCAATGCAGTGTTCCATTAAAAAAATATCCTTACATATACCACAGAGCTAAATGTATTCGTCAGTTCACCTTTTCTGTTCTGTACACCTATTATGGCAAGCAGTTTTATCATTTAATCTATAAAATTTACTAGCATCAATTTCATAGTACTAGTACTTATTTTTCAGCTACTAATTTATTTAACATTAAGTACAAGTATTTATTCTTTAATATAATAATAACACTTTCACACCTTTAGATAGATTGTTTTGCTCTGAAAAATTTAAATTGTATTATTTTTGTTCTTGGTTCGGTTCACTTTTACACGGCAAAGTTTCTAAATTGACCAAAATCGCTCAAACAAGTCACGTGGGAGTAAACTCTCCTCGCATTGAGTTTCAGGGTTTATTTCTCAGAATCCTACTATTCCGCTCAGCTGTCATACGTCGTTATTTTAATTTATGATAATGAGAAATACGACATTAGACACAGACTTAGTCACCAAATATAAATCAGAGAGGTCAGACTTTCTCATACAGCCTCATTTCAGTTGTCAAGTTTTGTAAAAAATCAATCTATTGAATTAATCTATTTAAAAAACACATTGGCCAGAATTCTGCATTATAGGCTTAAATTATAGAGAGAAATAACAGATGAAGCGAGACTGCAGTCAGATCATGAAGCAGATCAGTGATGATCTTTCTTCTGAGGTGTCAGTGCAGAAATGAAGAAAACAATAGGCCTGATACAAAAATTTACAAGATTAAAATATGAAAAAATTATCTGATGGTAATTTCTGTCAATTTTCCTAATAGATAAACAGCATTTGGTAATATTTCGCCATGCTTTCACTTTCATATTCGACATGAAATACACATTTACCGGTATAAAGGACATCCCGCCCTACTTGTAATTCTCTCTACATATAGCTGTAAATATGGCTATTACACAACCATAATATACAGGATATGGCCTGGTACGTTTTATCGTTTTGCTTCCTCACTACAATCGATCCGCACCAGAGTTTGTTTCAATTGAGCTGTTACAAAAATTGCATTCTGCATCAATTCCGAGATTTTAATAATGCATTGTTGTTCTCTTATAGTGGTGTCCAAAGTGGGGGTCGTGGGGCACCCAAATGAGCGGTGGTGTTTTACCTTCTATGCACTGGTTGCCTGTGCAATTTTCAGTTCTTTTAAAAGGGTCATGACCCCCCCCCCCCCCAATGTTGGTTCAGGTCTACCTCAGAATTTTTTTAAAAGATGCATCGTAATGGCCGTGGAGCTCCACGAGCAAAGAGCAGCAGTGGGCGTGGCCAGCAGGGGAGAAGGAGGGGAGCGAACAACTTCTGTCAGTTAGCTCACAAAATAAGACACAAACCGTGAGGAGACGCATGAGTTTATAGTTTACCAAGTTAAAATGTAAAGAAATAAACAGTGATATATTACCCTGCTACATTTGTTGTTCGTAATTTCATATACAGATAACCACAATTTATATCATTATAAAGGTAATTTTGTTCAAATAAACAGTATTAATAAGGACTTTTCCCTCAATCCCCGGGTCTGAATGCAGACTCAGTGCTGCAGATCTCTTGCCCTGTCTATTTTAACCATTAGCCCTGTTGGTAATCTAGAGGATTTAGGCAAACATAGCAGCACGGCGATGTGTCTAAATGTGAACGAACACCTGCTAAAAGACAACGTCCACCATTCTCCAATTCGCATACTGTTCTCCCGATAAAAATGCTTGCTGCACACAAACAGCTTTGCTGTATCGGCCCTGACAGCATCGCGGGGAAAATGATTTTGCCGATTTTGATCCCATCCCAAAAATCCTTTTAAACCAGGAATCTGAAATTAGGTGACAAAAGCTCAAAATTATCCAGTTTTTCCCACAATTAAAGTTAACAGGTGCTAACATTGTCTTAACTGATGCTCAACACAAATCTGTTAACATCTCAAAAAAAGTACTTGAGGGTTTCGTGAACCTTTAAATCACCCAACGGTTTAGCCCTTCCGTATCTGTCAAATTCATTGACTGAACATAGGCATGGGCTGGTAAAAGATTGTGACTGTATGATAACTTTGGATGTAAATATTATGGTTTCACGGTATCACAGTATTGTGATTACTGCTCTCTAAAATAAATTATTTTTAAATGTCTGGGTAAAAAACTAAAACTTTTCCCCCTTTGTGCTCAATATAAATGAATCATTGACTTCTGCCGTCTCCATTTGTTTTAAAAACACAGATTTTTAAAATATAAAACGGCATCTTTGGAAATCTTTTCTGCTGGAGATACTGTTGTCCTAAAAAACCAAACAAAACAAAAAAAGGAAATAAAAAATCTTACTCAAACCTTAGGGACAGTATACTAGAAATTTTTTACGGTCTTAAAACCTTGCCTTTTCCAAACCGCGGTATACCTTGAACACGGTTATCGTCCCATACCTAACTGATCATCAACCCATCTGTCTCTTCAGTCGTCAAACCAGAGAGTATTATGTTGGGGTGAATGGATTGTGGTACGCTCCACCCCTCTGTATTAGATCTGTTTTTAAATCTCAGTTGAAAGCCTACCTTTTTGATTGGCTGATTTATCATTAAGAATGGTTTGATTTTAGTAACTATTTTATATTGTTTTTTCTGTGATTTGTATTGTGCACCACATTAATGAACACTTGGTTGTGTTTAATAGTGCTGTACAAATAAAATTGACACACTAGAGCAGCCTTCAGAATCATTCTTCACAAGCTCCTTTGTTTGCAGGAAGTGAGTGCGTTTGGGGAAAATGGAGAAGGAGACGATTTGGATGTGTGGAACGTCCAGTGCAGTGCAACATACTGGGACCGTGAGGACGCAGTGCGATTTAAACACACCGGCACCGAGGTTTTCCTCAGCGTTACCGGTGAGCAGTACGGTCATCCAATCAGAGGCCAGCGTGAGGTCCATGGAATGCCTTCGCCCAATCAGCATAACTACTGGAAGGTGATGGAGGGGGTTTTTATTCAGCCCAGCAGTGACCCTATTCACCACGATGAGCTCTGATGATGCTGATACATCATTATTATGAGCGACTGAGAACTGCGCAAAACTTCTCTATATACATTTATCGGTCCAATTCTTATAGATGTGTTGCAGATTTATCACATTTGCTTTGAAGACGTCACACGCAATATGTACATCACAGACAAATAGATGAATTGGTTTGTTTTACTGGATTTCTTTTGAATGGAATTTTGTTATTTGTACATAAGGGAGTAAAAGGGCAAGGTTTCGGGCCACAAAATCGACTTATTTATTTTAGAATTAAATATTGAACTGGAACAAATTACATTATTGACTTGCAAAATCATTTGAGCCACTGTGAAATCCTGAAATATTTCTGGATTCACTGTGGGGAAAATGTAAAATGGCTATTTCTGTTTTTGGTAACACTTCACAGCAAGGTTCAGTTGGTTAATGCATTAATTTAATACATTTATTACATGATGTACTCATTTTAAACTGATATGAATGATATTGCTAAATCCGATACATTGCATTTATGTTCAAAACAAATACATTATTTGATTGTAATAATAAGTAAACATTAGAATGAACATGCGTTGATGAATGAACGCCTTAGTAGTTTTCATTTCATGTGCTTAACTAATGTCAACAAATTAAACCTTATTGTAAAGGGTTACAACGTTTTTATTTCCTAATATGACTGTGTTCTGTAGACTGTAATTTTCAATCCCTTTCATACTGTATGTGACCTGATATGTACATAAATTGATAAAAGCGTGAATAAATTTTTTTGAAATATTTACATTTGATGTTGTCATTTGGGTTTAAACGATGAAATACACTTCTGACTTATTTTAATCATAAAGTACTATGTATTATTTCAGTTCATTCCCTTTTTCTAGTAAATGCACAGAGCATCCAAATGGGGGCAGCATTTATCTACAGTTCTGACACATGTAGATTGAAAAAGAATGAGGTAGAATGTGTGTCTAGTACAACTAACCGCTACATGCACCAAGCACCAAATAAACCGCTTATGAAAATGCTGGTCGAAATAAGTTATTGGTAAAACGGACAGCTCTTACTTACAATTTGTTGGTGGATTCAATCTGTTTATGCCTTTTTACTTCAGTCAGTTGTTCGTACAAATTCAGCATACATTCCCGCCAAAATTTCGTCGCGTTTTCAATGAAATTGTCACTGAAAATCAAACAAAATAAAATTTTTGAAAGACCCTAGACATCCTTAAAGAGGTAATGATGATAATTCAATAGTTTTTGAAGGAATGTTTTTGGTGTAAATAGGGTGAATATAAGATGCGCCCCAGTAAGTTGTTCCAAATGGTTTAGTCCATAATGTTAACCGTGTACAAAAAAGAGACGCAAGTTAACAAAATTATTAGCCAACACAAAACCTCAACCGGTGACTAGTTTTTTTAATTACAATACTAAAAGTGTATCTATTAGCCTATATGTATACGTTTATAGCTAATAGTTGTAGGTTTCACATATTTTACCTGCATCATGTAGTGGGTATAGGCCTATATACACGTTTTATCTGAACGTGTAGCTGCTTGTAGGTGTTTTGATTTGTTTTGGTTGTACTTTTATTATCTGTTCAAATTTTACATTTCATTTTTTTGGGGTTATTTTACGCACAATTTTGTGCTATTTAAATGCAGAATTACAAAATATATTATAGCCTGTATTTGTGTGTATGACATGCCCTCGTGATGATGTCACAACCATACTGTTTTTGGTCGTCCTGGTCTGGTTTCAGATGATATTTTACTGCTCATTTTGTTAATCGAACAATATGATGAATTAAGCTGATTAGTAGTGTTCAGCAGATGGTTACGATTGTAGACAGCACACACACAATCACACATACGTTGGGCCGACGTCGGTCGAAGCTCAAAAACGTCTGCCCCTATAATTCTAACAAATGGTCGGCCAAACATACGCATGATAATTCGGTCGTGTGTTCTTGTCCCAGCTCATCCAACGTCGGCTCTGCGTCGGTTGAGGTCCAGAAGCCGATAAAGCACTTCATAAGCACGTTGTCTCGTGCCATCCGGCAACTTGGTTTACAAGTAAGTTTTCGCGTGCATATTAAATTAACCAAACGCAACATACATCATGTCTTTGCGTCGGTTGGTGCAACTTTAAATAGCCTACCTAAACGCACTAAAACTGACCAAAATGCCTGCAATACAGTATTTCAATAGTTTTTTTTTATTATGTCTTTTAGGTTAAAATCAAAGTCTGTTCTCCATTTAAGCTGTTTAATTAAAATAAACACCTTTTTTACTGTGACATCCTAATTTTAGAAATACATGTATTCATATTTATTGCTTATTTATTTTTTACAGTGGACTGAGGCACAAATAAAGTGTGACTTTAGTAGGCTATAAAGTACTGCAAGTACATTTAAAATATAATAGGTGCGTATATAAAACTGCTAAAGACATTTCAAATTCAAGATTTAATATAAAAAGTTATTATTTAACTTGTTTATGTAGTGATCGTGTTCATTTTTGTAAATGCTGCGTGACGTACACACGCAAGTATCATCAAAGAGCATAGAATCACCTTTAAGCTCTTTGGTATCATTCAAACACTGGAGAGGGAGTTGCTATGGAAACGAGGCAATGACACTTCACCTGCAAGACAACATAACTTCTCTCATGCTGCTGTTTTCACTGTTTTCAGGCAAGTTTAGTCCCTAAAACAAAACAAATATCACATAAAACTGTTCTTCACACTTTTATTATTGGTAATTGATCTGTAGTCTGTTGAATATTCATGTTATATAAATGGTTAGTCTTCGGAAAAAGTCGGTTAGCATCTTAGCACCGGTAACGTTTAATTTTGGGCTACCATTGCGATAACTTAACTTTACTGAGCTCTTTTTATACTTGTCTATTAAAGTTTTGGCTTTTTATTCTTCATGTATAGGTGAGAGGTTTTGTCAATGTTTTATTGAAAAAGAGTACTTTGCTACGAGCACAACTAACTGCTACATGTACAGTAAGCACCAGATAAAATGCGATGTTTATGAAAAATGCTGGTTGAAATAAGTTATTGGTCAAACGGACTGCTCTTACTTACAATTTGATGGTGGATTTAACCTGTTTACGGCTTTTTACTTCGGTCAGTCGTTCTTACAATTCCAGCATACTTTCCCGCCAAAACTTCGTCGCGTTTTTAATGAAATTGCAACTGAAAATTAAACATAATAACATTTCTAAAAGACTCAATACTTCCTCATGGTGTTCATGATATTAATTTAACAGTTTTTGAAGGAAAGTGTTCAATGTAAATAGGGTGAATATAAGAAAAGTTCCAATAAGTTGTTCTAAACGGTTAAGTCGTTAACGTTTTATACAAAAAGGAAACCTCAACCTGTGACGCCTATATTAAATACAATAGTAAATGGTTATCTGTTAGCCTATATGTGTACGTTTATAGCCGATAATTTTAGGTTTCGCATATTTTACCTGCATGTAGTGTTTGTAGCTGCTTGTAAGTGATTTGGTTGTGTTTTTGTTTTGTGTTAAATTTTACATTTTATTTTAGGCTCATTTTACTTATCATTTTGTACCATACACAAGCAAAATGGCAAAAATTTGTGTGTATGACTCGCCCTCGTGATGTTGTCACAACCATACTTTTTTTGGTCGTCCTGTTCCTGTTTCAGATTATATTTTACTGCTCATTTTATTAATTGAAGAATATGATAAATTACGCTGATTAGCAGTGTTCAGCAAATGGTTCCGATTGTAAATACTAGACTATCTAAAGAGAAGTGTGCATGTGTGAACTAACAATTTAATCAATCTTTATTAAAAAATCAATCATTTTTTGCACACGAAATAATTAAATCAATTTAATGATTTAAATATCAATGCAAATTTTAGGTTACATAGTTTATATTAATTTAGAAACTAAAATTGTTGCTTAAACAAGCGACGCAGTGGCGCAGTAGGTAGTACTGTCTCCTCACAGAAAGAAGGTCACTGGGTCGCTGGTTCGATCCTTGGATCAGTTGGCGTTTCTGTGTGGAGTTTGCATGTTCTCCCTGCGTTCGCGTGGGTTTCCTCTGGGTTCTCCAGTTTCCCCCACAGTCCAAAGACATGCGGTACAGGTGAATTGGGTAGGCTAAATTGTCCGTAGTGTATGAGTGTGTGTGTGAATGTTTCCCAGAGATGGGTTGGCTGGAGGGGCATCCGCTGCGTTAAAATATGCTGGATAAGTTGGCGGTTCATTCCGCTGTGGCGACCCTGGATTAATAAAGGGACTAAGCCAACAAGAAAAAAAAATGAATGAATGTTAATTAACAATTTTTCTTTGATGATAAGGTTGTAAAGCCCTAAAAGGAACAGGTTTGAGAATCAAGATAACTCTACTTTTGTTTTCCCAGAAGATGGCGCCATAATATAGTCCATTTATATATTCAGTCGCAAATCCTAACAATTAAATCTACAGCGATTAATTTAATATAGTACCTAGACAATAATTAGCACACAATAACTACATCTCCAGTTGAATCTGTAGCTAGATTTTGATCACAAATGGAGCTTTAAAATTGACATTTTGGAGAATTAAATGACAATTTGTATTTTTGGGCTGCCCACATGAAAAAAATATTATTTTTCTTTGATGACAAAGTTGCATTGCTTAAGGTAACAGGTTTGAGAATCGAGATAATCCTACTCCTATTTTGTTTTCCCAAAAGATAGCGGCATTATATAGTTCATCCATATAGCTAGTCGCAAATTCTAACCATTAAATCTACAGCGATTAATTTAATATTGTACCTAGACAATATTTAGTGTACAATATCTACATCTGGAGTTGAATCTGTTGCTAGGATTTGATCACAAATGGAGCTTTAAAATTGACATTTTGGAGATTTTAATAACAATTTGTATTTTGGGGCTGCCCACATGACAAAATTACCATTTATTTGATGACAAAGTTTTATTGCTAATGGTAACAGGTTTGAGAATCGAGATAACCCTACTTTTATTTTGTTTTCTCAGAAGATGGCGCCATAATATAGTCCATCCATACAGCCAGTCAAAATCTAACGATTAAATCAGGGATTCATTTAATATTGTACCTAGACAATATTTAACATACAATATGTACATCTAGAATTGAATATGTAGCTAGGTTTTGATCACAAAAGTGGCTTTAAAATTCACATTTTGGAGATTTTAATAACCATTTGTATTTTAAGGCTGCCCACATGACAAAATTACAATATTAATTTATATTAATTACTATTTTAATCGAACCATACTATAATAAAGTACTCAATATAGTAAATATAGGTAAATATAGGTCTCTGGTAACACAACAACAATGCTAATAATTATGTGTTGTAATAAACATCAGTAATAAACAAATTACACAATACTGTACTGTTTTTTACAACTATATAAATTATACACCACATTTTACTGTAGTAAATACTACAGTATGCTTCTTATTATGAAATAAACATTAATAAGAGTTATAAAAACTATAATATACTCAGTATACTGTAATAACCTTCACTGTATTAAAATCACTATAAAGTATTGACTACAAATTACTATAGTATTTTATATGTGGGTGCACTGTGATTCTCAGTATATAACCTTACACTGAATGACATTTGAATGGGTGTCTTGTGTAAAACATAGTATGTTAATCTTATTTGGATGCTTTTTTTTTCTCCACCAATTTTCCTATTATGCAAGGCATGGTTATCATTATGCACTCAATATGATTTCATTGCCCATTCTGCACATTT